TATAAATACACCCTCCAAGATTTGTTTAAAATATGAATTGTCACTTGTGATTTAAAAAATTACAAATGCCCCATTGTCGTAATTTTGTATTTAACAAGTTTAATTAAAGGGTGATTCTACTTACACCACTCTTTTTCCTCCTTACACCCTCCATCTCATTACACCACTTAAAAAAAATTGAATTCTCATTACACCTAATATAGTACCAAAACAAATCCTATGATAAAAAACTCTTCAAAACCCATCTCTTTACACCCATACTTTGTGCTACGCCTGTTCGGTAATACAATACTAAACAATTTGAATTACTCTAATTTCATGTTACCGGATAAAATTTTGTTTCGTAGCATTATGTTACCATTCAATTGGATAATTTCAGTACGCTTCCCAACAAAGCCAGTAGAGTCCACATTGAAGTGTCTGTTTGGTCACACAATGCGAAATAATTTACAAAAATTCAATGCTATAATGCCGAAATAAATTGTTTGTTCCAACCTTTTGTTGCTATACATTTACAGAGCCACTTCCTTCCAAATAATGTAGTAATAATTTGTGTTGGGCCTGTTCGATAATAAAAAGCTAGTGAATTTTAATTACTCCAATGTTATGTTGCTAGAAAAAATAGATTTGTCTACCATTTTGTTGCTATACATTTACAGAGCCACTTTGTTCCAAATGATAATTTGGGCCTGTTCGGTAATTTGATACCAGACTTATATTTTTTGTTTTTTGACATAATATATATTTTTGCATATTTGATGCGACAGAAAGTGAAATTAATGAAAAACATTTTTTATAATTAACCAAAAAATAAATTATTTTCACTAAAAATATTTTTAATTAAAAATTAAAAAATATTCTTTTTGAATTAAAAACTTCTCAATGCCACTACACTATCATCTTGCTATTATCATTGTTTCTATTGCCATCATCGCCGCCGCAACTATCCTACCATCACTACTGCTATCATCACCACTCTATTATTGTTGCCCTACCACTTTGTCACCGTACTAAGTGACGTGTCATAAATTAATAAAATTTTAGAATTTAAAATAGAATAAATTATAAATACACCCTCCAAGATTTGTTTAAAATATGAATTGTCTTTTGTGATTTAAAAAATTACGAAAAAAATTACAAATGCCCCATTGTCGTAATTTTTTATTTAACAAGTTTAATTAAAGGGTGATTCTACTTACACCACTCTTTTTCCTCCTTACGCCCTCCATCTCATTACACCACTTAAAAAAAATTGAATTCTCATTACATCTAATATATTACCAAAACAAACCTTATGATAAAAAACTCTTCAAAACCCATCTCTTTACACCCATACTTTGTGCTACGCCTGTTCGGTAATACAATACTAAACAATTTGAATTACTCTAATTTCATGTTACCGGATAAAATTTTGTTTCGTAGCATTATGTTACCATTCAATTGGATAATTTCAGTACGCTTCCCAACAAAGCCAGTAGAGTCCACATTGAAGTGTCTGTTTGGTCACACAATGCGAAATAATTTACAAAAATTCAATGCTATAATGCCGAAATAAATTGTTTGTTCCAACCTTTTGTTGCTATATATTTACAGAGCCACTTCCTTCCAAATAATGTAGTAATAATTTGTGTTGGGCCTGTTCGATAATAAAATGCTAGTGAATTTTAATTACTCCATTGTTATGTTGCTAGAAAAAATAGATTTGTCTACCGTTTTGTTGCTATACATTTATAGAGCCACTTTGTTCCAAATGATAATTTGGGCCCGTTCGGTAATTTGACGCCAGACTTATATTTTTTGTTCGGCAATTTGATACCAGACTTATATTTTTTGTTCAGTAATTTACTGAAAATGTATCTTTTATTCGGCAATTTGATACCAGACTTATATTTTTTGTTTGGCACTGTGATGCCGGGCTATGTTATTTTGTTCGATTTCGAAACACCGAACAAAAGTCGCAGACCAACCCAGAAAATTGAAACAAAAACCTACCAAACTAACAAAAAAACACACCATTTCACTTTTTTTATGGTTTTTCACCACCGTTTCTTCATCCATTGCTTTTTTTGATGATCAAAATACTATGATTATCACTTTTTCCAAAGAGATGTATAAAAGAAAAGTTGAGAAAGGAAAAACAGAACTAGGGATTGAAGATCAACGGGTGTAAGGAGATAATCAAATATATTTAATTTTAGTATTTTGCCCTTTTAAGTAATTTCACACATGGATAAATTTGAAAGAAAAAAACAATCTCATATGGAGGGTGTAAGGAGGTAAAAGAGTGGTGTAAGTAGAATCACCCTAATTAAAAAAATGAAATTTCTCACTGTTCTCCTATACAATAATCAAATTACCTAAATTAGTAATTGAAATAAATTTATGATATTATTAAAAACTATTAATTGACTTAATAATTTATTAATAAAATGGTCTAATTGTTATGAAATTGTTAATCTCAATAGGTGGGAGCGTAATTTTCAAAATTACAGCAAACAATTTATATTTAAGTAAACCTTAAAAGATGTGTTTTTAATTTACCCTTTAAAATATTATCTATTTTTTTTAGATGATGGAATATTATCTACTTCAATAATATAACATGTACCACAAACATATGTGTAATTTTACTGGTAAAAAAATGTTTTGATAAAAGAAAGGTATAATATTAGTATAAAAATGCATAACATTATTTTATAATGTATAATGCTATTTATGAATTGCAAAATTATCATAATTTTATCAAAACATATATAATATTTATCACAAAAATGAAGTAACAAAAATACATATAGGCTATGTTTGGCATGGGATTTTTTGACTATTTTAACCATAAAAAGATAAAATAGACTACAAAATTAATAAGACAAAATGTCATATCAAAACTATAATCATTTTATTTTTTCTCTGACAAAATCAAAATATTCATCACAAACAAGACTTTTTAACCCCAAATTAAAATAATGAAAAAAATACCATTTTAAAAATAGTTCTAAACTATTTTGGACTCTTAAGAATTTAAAAACAAAATAAAATAAATATTCTTAAATATATTAGTTATTTATTAGCAATATTTTTTTATCATTTAAAAAAAATATCGGTTTTTATCAAATTTTTATTTTCTAAATTACTAATAAAAAAGTAATTTAATTTTCACTAAAAATAAAAAATAAATAAAGTACTAACAAAAAAACAATTATCTAATCCCCTCTCATAACTATTACCCACCCACGCATGTCTCTCTTGTCAGTCTACATTTATGTGCAATAAAAACTTTTTCTGTTTCTTGCTCCTAAAGAAGAAAAAAAATTCTGTTTCTTTTGCTAAATTTGTTTATGAAAAATGTTGGAGGGCCCGAAATCAGTGACTCGAATTCGGGTCGAAATCCCAAATGACGTTGTTTTGGGTTTTAATTTTTTTTTTCTTTTTCTTTCTTTTCTTTCTTTTCTTTTTCTTCTTCGTTTTGAACACAGGAGAAGAGAAACAGAAGCGAGAGAGAGTCGTCGCAGCTCGGCACTCGTTGACCGATCGTCGCAGCTCGTCGGCCGCTCGTCGCATCGCAGCCCCGCCTCCGCCTCCAGTCCGATTTTGATGGCCCCTTCAGTTCTGCTTCTCCTTCTTCTTCTTCTTCCTCCTCCTTTTCTTCTTCTTCTTCTTCCTCCTTCTTCCTTCTCAAATTCGAGCCAGGGCTTTCGGGTTCTATAGCGGGGCTGTTTATTTATACCCTTAACATTTTATCTCTTATGTTATTTTAATTTTTATAATTTTAATTAGTTGATTTTTTATTTTTGATTTTGTATCAATTTAATCTAATTGACAATATTGATTAGGAATTTTAATAAAAATAGTCACTGAATTAGTTAAAGTTGATTCATTGAGTTAAATAAATTTATTATTTTGCCAATAAACACATAACATATGTTACATTTTTTTATTAAAAAAAACACTAATAATTATAATCAATTGAGGTTTCGTTTGAAATGAGTTTTTTTAACTTTTTGATTATTTTAAACTAACAAAAAAAATTCTATTTGGGATAAATTTTTGATTTTTTTTTTATATAATTTGGATATGATAATTGTGAGAGAAACAATAAAATAATTATGATTTAGATGTGACATTTTATCTTATTTTGATTTTTTAACTTATCTTATTTTTTTAGGCTAAATTAACCTAATCCATACCCCAAACCACTAATCAATTGAACTAAATTTGAATAAAATTACTCCATGTCTCAAAATAATAGTCCATTTTGGATAATCTAATTTTTTTAATAGTACAATTATTACATTTTAAAAATATTAATTTTCAAAAATTATCTTAGGATAGTATTTTTTTTGAGAATATTAATTATCATAATTGTACTTTTTTTGTTATTAATGAATTTAAAATAAGAATAAAATAATAAATTTATATTATTTTATTCCTTAATTTTTATACTACTAAAAAAAAAAATAGTACATCAACAAAAATAAAAAAAGTAGGAAAATTTACCCATAAGTCTTAGTTTTTGAAAAGTTGAACCATTTAGTCTTAAAAGTTTTCTTATCCTCCATTTAGTCCCATTTGCACATCAATCTAATGTTCGAAACATTAATCTGATGTTCAAAATCTAATATTCGAAACATTAATCTGATGTTCGAAATCTAATGTTCGAAACATTAATATGATGTTTAAAACATTGTAATGGGACCTTTCAGTCTATAAGAAAACTTTTAGGACTAAACAGTGTATAAGTTATTAATTTGGGATTTATTGGTGCATTGTATTAGTGTAATTATTATTATTATTATTATTTTTATAGTTCTTTTTGTTTATTTTGGAACTCAATTGATTTGGGTGTGGTGGTCACGCGCTTTCCCAGAGGAGTGAGAGTGTTTGTTTGGTCCCAATGACCAATGCAGAGAGAGAGAGAGAGAGATTAGATTTGGATATCATCAACAAACTATCACGTGCCTCTCACCACATCCCGACAACCTCCTCCACCACCAGTACCTCTCTCTCTCTCTCTACCTTCCCTATTTCATCCTCATCTCTTCATCTCTCTCTCTCTCTCTCTAAATCCACAAACCTCACTTCACTCCCTTCAATGGCCGCCGTAACCGACCTGCCGGACGTAATCCTCTCAAACATAATCGCGGCCGTTTCCGACACACGCAGCCGCAACTCCGCCGCCCTCGTCTGCCGGAAATGGCTCCTCCTGGAACGCGCCACCCGCACCCACCTCACCCTCCGCGGCAACGTCCGCGACCTCTTCATCCTCCCCACCTGTTTCCGATCCGTCTCCCACCTCGACCTCTCTCTCCTCTCTCCCTGGGGCCACTCTCTCCTCTCCTCCGCCCCCGACCCCTCTCTCCTCGCCCAACTCCTCCGCCACGCCTTCCCCTCCGTCACCTCCCTCACTCTCTACTCTCGCACCCCCTCCACTCTCCTCCTCTTGGCCCCTCAGTGGCCCCAATTGAAACACGTCAAGCTCGTTCGATGGCACCAGAGGCCTCAATTGCCTCCCGGTGCCGATTTCGCTCCTCTCTTCGAACACTGTCGATCCATTTCCAATCTCGATTTGTCTTCCTTTTACTGCTGGACTGACGACATATCTCCGCCTCTCCAATCTCATCCCAATCTGGCCTCAAACCTCACTCGTCTCGATCTCCTCAACCCCTCCTTCGCCGAAGGATTCAAGTCCGACGAGATCAAATCGATCACCTCTGCTTGCCCTAGCTTGAGGCAGTTTCTTGTAGCGTGTATGTTTGATCATAGGTACATTGGGTTTGTTACCGATGAGACTTTGCTGTCTATCTCCTCTAATTGCCCCAACCTTTCCGTACTTCATCTTGTGGATACTTCGGCTTTGTTGAGTTCTAGGGGTGATCCGAACGATGAAGGTTTCACTGCCGAGGACGCGGTGATCGGGACTGCGGCTTTGATCGATATGTTCTCTGGGTTGCCATTGTTGGAAGAGCTCGTGCTAGATGTTTGTAAAAATGTCAGAGACAGTAGGCGAGCGTTAGAGGAGCTGAATTTGAAGTGTACGAAGCTGAGATCGCTCAAATTAGGGCAATTTCACGGGGTTTGCACGGCGAATGAGTCGAGCCTTGAATCTAGGCTCGATGGCATTGCTCTGTTTCAAGGGCTTGCGGCTTTGTCGATTAAGAACTCTGCGGACTTGACTGATTTGGGGTTGATTGCTATTGCTAGAGGGTGTTCGAGATTGGCTAAATTTGAGGTTCAGGGTTGCAGGAAAATCACGGTGAGAGGAATGAGGACGCTGGCTTGTTTGCTTCATCGGAGTTTGGTCGAGGTCAAGATCTCTTGCTGCAAGAACCTCGGCGCGGTGTCGTCGTTGAAAGCGTTGGAGCCAATTCAGGACCGAATTCAGCGGCTTCACATCGATTGTGTTTGGGACAGTGTCGAGCAATTCGAGGCTCAGCAGGGCACCGAATACAACTTCGATCTCAACAAGTCAGAAGAAGAAGAGGAGGGTGGTGTGATGAAGAACAAGATGCAGCAATCGGTGTTTAGTTTTGCAGACTTCTACTATAGTACAGACTCTGAAGATATGATCAAAACAAAAAAGAAATGCAAGTACACTTACGACCTCAATTGTTCTTATGGGGAGGAAGAAGGGGGTGGAAGTGGCATTGGCAATGGTTTTTATGGCAGGACATGGGACAAACTTCAGTATCTATCGCTTTGGATCAGTGTTGGTGAGCTTTTGACTCCATTAGTTGACGCTGGTCTTGAAAATTGCCCTATTTTAGAAGAGATTAAAATCAAAGTTGAAGGGGATTGCAGGGAATGGTCAAAGCCATCGTCGCGCGAATTCGGATTGAGCCACCTCGCTTGTTACCCGGAGCTTACTAAGTTGCATTTGGATTGTGGAGATACAATAGGTTATGTGCATACTGCGCCATTGGGGCAGATGGATTTGAGTCTTTGGGAACGGTTTTATCTGTTTGGGATAGGGAATTTGAGCCTGAGCGAGCTCGATTACTGGCCGCCGCAAGACAGGGACGTTAACCAGAGGAGTCTATCGCTTCCCGCTGCTGGATTGCTTCAAGAATGCGCAACACTGAGGAAGCTGTTTATCCATGGAACTGCACACGAGCATTTCATGATGTTCCTTCTAAGGATTCCGAATCTGAGAGATGTGCAGCTGAGAGAAGATTATTACCCGGCACCAGAGAATGACATGAGCACGGAGATGAGAATGGACTCGTGTCGTCGTTTTGAGGATGCATTGAATGGGCGTCGTATCCTTGACTGAAACAAGACTTAGCCCTTTCATGTAGTAGTCGAAACCCTAAGAAAATCACTGAAACTACTCTTGTGACATGTATGAGTTTTGTGAAATTGAGATTTTCTAATTCTGTTGACAGTATAGTTTTGATGACACTCTGCAAGTAGCTAAACAACACAACATCACACGACACAACACAGAAATAAACTAACCCCTTCAATATTGAAGAAGAGAATTACAATTTTGCATCTTGATTGCACAAAGAGAGATATCAAAGTTTCTTCTTTTCTTCTTTTCCTTTTTTTGGTTTTTTATCATTCCAAAGTGAAGATCAAACAAGAGTTTCTTTTTTTTTCAGAACTGGAAAATCATAAGAAATGTTTTACAACTTGAGCCGAGAACACAATGTTACACCTCTACTATGCTGTTTTTTGTTTTTATACAACAAACAAAGATTACACTTAGCAGAGCGAGTACTCGCAGTCTAGCAGCCTTGTGAGAATCTCCTCGCAGCTTGGTCGTTCTTGTGGTTCTGCCCAGCAATCTGCAATTTAAGACGTGAAAACCATAAGAAATCTTCAATTTGACATAAAGATTTTTTTAGCAAAAAATTATTGAATTTGTTATGGTGGATGACCTGCAATTAGCCTGCCTAGAGGACCTTCAGGAATCTCCAACCTTGACCCCTCATTTGCAACAGCATAAACAACCTAAACAGTAGAGAGAACGAACATCAATCAACCTCATACTTTTCAACAAATAATATCACCTTAAATAAATAAAAAAAAAACAAAAACCAATGTTCTTCCTCATACTGACCAAAAAACAAAAACAATAACAATAAAGCAAATAAACTAAGAAACCATATTTCACTATACCCTCTCTGGGGGAACACCCTCCCATGGTCGACTTAGAGTGCAGAGTTCCCACATTATTACACCAAGGCTGAAAATATCACATTTCTCTGTGAAGGGTTCATTGCGAATGAGTTCAGGAGCCATCCATTCTGGAGTTCCAGCTGATGAAGTGTCTCTCATGGGGGTGTCGGTCATTATTCTTGACAGCCCAAAATCGCAGATCTTAACTGTTGAATGCTTGTTTACAAGACAATTTGCACTTTTCACATCGCGATGCACTATCTTCATCCGGTGTATGCACATCAGTCCCCTTCAGTACCAACAAAATTAAATTAAACAAACAGTCCCAAGAAGTATTAGATGTAGTCGATTCAGAAAAGCAAGAATCTTCAGGTATGTCTACTTGCATAGGATGCCAGTGTACAACGGTAAAGCCACATATAATTAAAACCGCTAATATGATACGGAATGTTCAATTCAAGCAAAATGTAATTTGATGTTGGTGACACTAGCCTGCCAGTTCAGAAAGAGTGCAAAAAGTAAGCAATGAATGCTTGCATTTCCTAATTGTGAAATATTGTTCACTTAGTATATCAAAATTCCTATGCATATATAGTTGCTTACATATAACACTATCCGAACTCCAAAGATCATCACCTTTGCAGCTATGCAAAAGTGAAATAGAGCTCCAATTTTCTTTATCCAAGCCCGAGTGTTATGAGAATATAAACGCAACTAAGTAAGCTGAGTTTAGAGTTAGTCCCCATTGGATGGAGGTCTGGGAGGAAGGTAGTTAAATGTGCCTAATAAAGGCGAACCTCGTATTTTAGCAAAAAAATTAATAAAATAGCATATTCCCAAACCAACCAATAAGAACCACATCGAGAAAGTATTGTGTAACGACAGAGGTGCTGTGATTGCTCTAAGTGACTGATTCGTCGAGCGGGAGCAGGAGCGAGAGCAATAGCATCGAATATAAAAATGTGTATGATAGAGAGTGCCTATTAAATAATATGAGTGTATATACACTAAAACATACATATAAAATGATCGGAAAAGATATATACATATCTGTAAAAAATATACACCTATTAAATGAAAAAAATACTTGACCATAAAACATATGTAAGTTGGTTCAGTGGGTTCTTACAAATTGTTTACCTGATTGGCATATAAATTCGCATGATTTTCAAGTTTACACTTCAATTTGAAAGTGACCTTTGTAATTTCCAAGAAAAAAGATGATGGTGGCATGTACTTCAACCTCAAACAGGCTTTAGAATTGATAAGTGAAAGGTGTCTAGATTGGAACAAGTGCAACCAATGAAAATACACACTGACTTAATGGATTGCCCCTTTGTGATGTTAATTCGCGCACTCAGAAAAAAATAAAAATCCACATATTTATGGAAAATTTGGTCAAAGTTCACCCATCAGCGAGTTGAGAGCAGGGTAACCAATGAGCACCCCTTGCGTACAAACTCAGTGTCTAACTGATTGCTACAAACTCTCCAATCGCTTTTAGCCTATTGATCAACAGTCCTGCAATATTTTAAAATGATTTCAGGGCAGTAATGTTTTTATTCAGAAACAAGTTCTCCCACTTAGTTTAATTTGTACCCCAATCTCAACAGACCTAATTTAAGAATCAAAGAAATAAAAATAACTCTTTGATTCCAATCAAACAATACTCTGGGCAAAGTCTGTTTACCTTTATCATTTGTTACAGTGTATGAATACCATCTCATCTGGCTCGGGAGTTTGGTCCTACTTGTTAAAAGAAAAAATAAAATATAATGAAGAAGCTTTGACTCCCCATTTAAACCTTTATGTCGAGCAACATTTTTCATTGCTTGAGCACATGAAGATATGGGAGACCAATCTCCGTATCAAATTGGTTTTGAAACCTGTAGGCTGAACCAAGGCAAGTCGCCATCCTAGAAGCAAGCAACCAATTACTTGAACCCAAGTTGCTTTTGGTAAAACCCAAGCTCTCTCTGACATTACTCTTTCTGTAGCTACCAGTGATGGAATTTGGAACAGAAGCATACTTCTTTCTCAGGTTGAAACCCTAACCTGTAAATAACTTTCCAGAACAAACCCTGACAACCAGAAGTTTCTTCAATACTCAGTTCTCCTCTAGAAAAAAAATTGAAACTACTAAATAGACACTCAATCTGCTAAACCGAACTGGCACATTTTCCCCTATCATCATATCATGCTCTAGATCGAAACCACTAAACCTGGTGAACAGCAATTTTATAGACCATAAATTCAAATGTCACAGATAAGCATATACCAACATTGATATCTCCACCAAACAATTGCACATACACATCCAAATCAAAAATCCTTAGCAACCAAACAGCAGTCACCAAGTAGTCACTCTAGCCACTCTTCCCCACTCAATCAACATGACCAACATTGAGTAGAGGTTGGCTAATCAAAAGAAAAGACTTCATGAAGAATTCCTAATTTCCATATTCTAGGGAACAAGTGACTATTTACGGAATATTCATACTCACCTCAGTAAAAAATTACATATCGAGGCGTGGAAATTCTTAGGTAAGGAGGGGGTGATTTGGTTAACATAATTCTTTAATAAGATTCTAATGACTAGAAAAATGTCTGCTGAGTGGAAAAAAAGCACTTTAGAACCCATATATATATATAAAAAGAGATATTTAAAGATATGGTCCGGTAGATCAATTAAGGGCGGGCTATATTTACTAGGAAGATTAATAGAAAAATGCATAGTAAAAAGAAGGGGATCTACATATAGGTTTTACAAATTTAGAAAATGCTTACGGTAGAATATCTAGATATATAATATGGTGGATGTTGGAAAAAGGGAATGAAGCGAATTAGATAAACTAATCTAACTATATGCTCAATTATCTGCCTTTTTTCATGCTTTCTCTCTTTTGCTTGTGATACTCTTTCCATCTGGATTTCACTCTGTACCGTGCCTAAATCAATCTTTCCCCCTAAATACTGAAACAATTTCACTCTGGACCATGCCTAAACCAAGACAAAGTAGTGCCATCTAAGGTAGGCAGGCAAATGGCACTAAGTAAATTGGAACATACAATAACAGTTTTTCCAAAAGTTTAAGTGAAACCTTAGACCAAAAGGTCCAACTTCCATAACACAAATAAAGAAGAAAAAAAGGAAAAAGAAAAATGTGTGAAAATAAAAAATATATATAATATCAAAAAATAAAACACACAAATAGAGAGAGAGAGAGAGAGAGAGAGAGAGAGAAGGACAAAGCAAAATGTGTAAAAAAATTAAAATAAAAAAGAAAAAATATATAATATAAAATAAAAAAAAAAGAGCAAAAACTATCATTGAACAGCACACATCAATGTGATAGTGACGACATAACCAGCCAAAGGTTGAGCTTCACAACACCAATAAAATTTCACTGGAATAGAAGGTATTACACAATGCAGTATATCATTTACGCAATAAAACCAAGAAACAAAAAGAGTTTCCATGAATTACACAGATTCAACGCACCTGCATATATCACGCAGCATTTTGAGTCTCCTCCGCCAGCTGAGTTTCTTTTTCTGCCCACTTAAATGGATCAAATAATACAAGGATCCCATCTCCATGTATTCAGTGACCATTGACAAGTGTGGGGGCTTAGTGCATGCACCAAGAAATAAGATAACTGCAAAAGAAAAGGCATTAGTTGGATAAACATCTAAATAGTAAAGATAACTTTAGTCACATTAGAGTTCTATTTTTTTTTTTCATTTCCATTCCATCTTAAATGTCCATAACCCTGAAATAAAGGAGCAAAAAGTTCTTCCCATTAATTTCATTTTGCAGATACTTGTGCCTTAAAAGTTCTTTTTTTCTTCTATGTTGATTCAATATTTATTAAAAATTTTACTGCACATTTAAAATACTAGGTTCCCTTAGATTTTCAATCACATGGAGAATCTTTCAAAAGAGCAGATCGCATGTGAAATGTATAGTTTGACAAAAATCAGGTGAAGAAGAGTACCGTTTGGGTGTCGGAGGCGGCTGTACAGAAAAAAAAACATATAACAGAAGTAAAAAGAGTACGTTAGAAAGACATCAAGATATAATTGAATTAACATAAACAAAAGCTCATGTTAAAAGGACAAAGAACATCAGGCTGTGTAAAAGAATATCACCTGAGGATGGATATTTCGTTGCAGAAATCCTTCATATTTTCAGCAGTCAGATCTTGCTCCAAGAAAACCTTGATGGCGACATCTGTTCCATTCCAAATGCCACGGAAAACTTCTCCAAAGAACCCTGGAGATAAAAAAAAGGTACAAATAGAAACATTAATTTAAAAAAACAAGGATGTCACAAAACTTGAGGCGTCAACAAAGCTAAAGAGCAACATGATTAAAGATTTAGAGCTAAAAGAACCATCAACCATCACCATTTCAACAACATCCTGCATTAGGTTGGCGGATGTTGAATAGAACATTTAGAGATTAGAGAAGAAATGTTAACTTTGACTATCCCTATACGTCTGGAAAAAGTGAAATTCCAAGGTAAGAACACCAATGAACATGCTCATACGATCACGTGGATTCCCTTTGAATCTCAAAAGACAAATAAATAAGGAATGGAACCTTGACATAGTCACCACTAACCTTAAAGTCTTCCAGCAAGTTAGTTTTAGACTAATCCCCAAGAACAAATTTAACATGAAATCAAACTTAGGCACCATAATCAACGGTTTTCCAAGGAAGTCTCCCTGATAGCCAAGTAACCATCCTGCCCAGTTTCTTAAAGTATCTATTCTCTTGATGACAAAATAAAAGATTTAGTCAAAAGTCTCTGTGAAATATCCACAATGATTGCAATTGTTACTCAAAACATAAGAAGCATGGAGATTAAAATAAAGGGTCATGTCCGCATTGGATACCAACACTCATTAGATGTGCCTCGATATTGTGTAGAAATGTATTTTCTTTTAGTTATTTATTTATTTATTTTATATTTAGCTTAGGGATACTTTTGTATTTTTATTATATTTTGTCTTCTGTGTCTCTCTATTTATTTATTGCGTCAATCAATTTTGTAATGTAAGGATTAATGTGTTAATATAATGATATACATTTTTGACTCTCCAAACTCACGTGGTATCAAAGCCATTTGTCGCGATACATCATCAGAATAGCATCGCAAACCCCATTGCATCTCTCTCTCTCTCTCTCTCTCTCATATCATCTTTTGTTGTCTTTTCCCCACTCTTTGTTTATTCAAGGCAAAATTGTGTACTTGGCCTTAATGCATTAATGTTTGTCTTTTTCAATAAAAGGACAATTCTAACAACATTATGAAATTTAAGATTAGAATACCATAATTTCAACATAATAAACTATCTTATTGCTGTAATGCTCTCGGGTGTTACAATTATACAATATACAATACATATATAAGCATTCAAGATGTGCCACCATACCATACCCAACTTTTGTAAGCATATCCCAATATACAAAGATTTAGGTTTAGGAACATCTGATGCTTGGACACGCACCACCTACACTCGATATTTGTACCCGAATCCACGTAACATATCTATTATGAGTTCTCTCTCTCCACAATTACATTATTTTCCTATATTAAAGAACATTTATAGCGCAGTTACTAGCCTTGATGATTTCAGTGATAACCTTTTAAATTCATATAAACTTTAGATTAGTAAACCAATTTTCTCTCTGAACAGAACTGTGTCATTAGCAATGCACAGACAAGTAACTTTTAAACCAATATTTGCCCATTTATAAACTGTTAATGTTGCCAACAACTTCTGCCATAGAGATCAATCTGCCTGGGACATGAACCAAGAGAGTAAAAAAACATAGGTGATAATTGTTCCCTCAAGGTCCTAAACAACTTCCATCTACCATTAATCAGATCAATCTTTTACCAAGGAGATAATAGTTCCCTCAGATATATTGAATAGCCATAGCATTATGTATGGTACCCAAGCGGTACATTGTAAACCTAATAAATTTCCAAAGTCAAAAATACTGGCATGGAATATTAGGAAGGGTAATGCTTACCAATCCCAACACGAGTTCCGACAGTCAGTTCTCTGTAATCAATATTCCATTCTTGAAATGGTAGGAGAGGCTTATTTTGGAACATGGGCGACTCCAGTACTTTGTGCCATGTTGAGACCGTTTCATCATTTTCTTTGTAGTCTGAAGTCCCGCCTCTTTCAGAAGGTGGACCACTAAATTCATGTGGGGATGAAGGTAATGATATTGCCTTTTGAGAACTTATTTGCTCCCTAGGATGAGCATATAAAGCAGACCTTCCACCCGAGATTTCATCACGATCATGCTGGTCAAAATCAGATACCTGAATTAGGGCACAGAGTTATAAAGAAACAAACAAACACAAAAATAAGTAAACAATTGTAAAATCCCCACTGCGAGAAATATCTGCAATTCATTCGAGTTCAGGCAGACTGCATTTGAGTTACAATGCAATTATAAGCTTAAAAAACAAAGTTCAATTTTTCCATTATCTAGGAATGTTGAATATAGAAATTAGAGTACATAAAATCTTTTTATTTTTAGTATTATGTATATAATTTGTAATTGTGTCATTCACTAATTTAGTATTGTTTCCTTATTTATATCGTTTCCTAAATTGTATCATGAATCTATTATATATACATGGTCTCTACCTCATTCATGGGTAAGCCAAATAATTCTTTTCATTCTTTTAGCATAAGCTATAGAAATGATCACACGTATATCAACCAGAATCATAACAAAGAACTACAAGGAACATCAGAAGAAAAACATCTAAACGAGGCACAAATGCATTAATAGTAATCAAACCTATAATGCATAAGAAAATGAAGGTTACAGCAAAATAAATGAATAGGAAATAACCAAAACCAATTTTGTGACATTCTTTTACCCAGATTTGACTGTGCCGATTTTAACTTGGAACTTGGAAGTAAGTTGAAATCCACGTGTTCTTTTAGGCTCGATCGCAAAAAGTTAACAAATACTAATTTCACATGTTCTGCTTAGCAGCTGCAGGACTTTCCCCGACAAAAAAGAAAAAGAGGAAAACTTTCCAAGGAAAATACACAGATGCAAGGCCATTAGAGGATAATTGCAACTGAAACTCAGTTTAGTTGTATTAAATTGATGACTAGCTCAACAATTGGAAAGGCTTCCCCAACATAGACAAACTCAATCCATCCACGTCCCTGATGATATTCAGCTCAATGTAAGGGTTACATTGGGCAACATTCGATCAGTTGATAGGCCTGGGGTAAGTGTTTTTATTATTTATTTATTTATTTATTCAAGGAAAAAAAAAATGAAAAAGAAAAAAGAAAGAGAACAGAGGCAAGGGAAAAATAAGGAGGACAAGAGTGGAAGCACAAAACATTTCTTTCAAACAATAAGGCTCAAAGACATTTTTCTCTTCTTACTAGCTAGCTTCTTCTCATCTTCTTGTTTAAGTTCTTTCAATTTATTGTGCCTGTTTGGCTAAGCTTATAAGCAGGCTTATAACAACTTTTAGCTTATATTAAGCTATTTTAGAGTGTTTGGCACAGCTTATCAAAACAACTTATAACTTATGTTAAGCTATTTTCAGCTTATTTTCCAAAGCAGCTCTTGGGGTGCTTATAAAAATCGGCTTAAGTGGGAAGCTGGTAAGGGAGGTTTAAATTACTTAAATATCCTTGTCAATATCCAACTATTACCAAAAACCCAATAATATAAATCCCATTTTGTAAGACACTATTCATTGCTCACTTGAGGGAGAGATAGAGACGATTTCCGGTAAAGATTTCCGGCGAGCGTGAGAAAACTTGATGGGCGATTTCCGGCGACCATAGGCGATTTCGGACGATGATTTCCGGTGACGATAGTCATCTTTTCATTTTCTTCTCCTTTTTGGGATCGCGAAACTTGAAGATCGGATCGAGCGCGAAACTTGAAGATCGGATCGCGAAACTCCGAGCTGAAGAGTTTTCTATTTTGATTTTCCATTTGTTTTTTGTTTTCATTTTTTCAGTGAATTTGATAAGAGTTTGGTTAGATAAGGAAAGATCTCTATGTTTAGATTCACTGCGAAGTGAAGATTTGTGTGATTTGATGTGGTTTTTGTCCTAGAAAGTCATTCCGATTGAAAACGGTTGATCTAGAAAAAAAAAATGGTAGATAACGAGTTTTCTCTGCATTTCAAAAGAAAAGTTCTAGAGAGAGAAGATGAAGCTTCCTCCTGAATTGAAGCCACAACTGTAGTTCTTACATTTACTGGTAAATTAATAAAAAAATTAATAAATTGGTATATTTTGCAACAATTTTGTAATAATAAATTAAAAAATATTAATTGGTATTTGTAACAATTTTTAATAAATTAAAAAAATATCAATTAACTCACTTCTAATTTGAAAAAATAAATTAAAAATATTAATTGGTATTTCTAACAATTTTTAATTTTTAATAAATTAAAAAATATCAATTAATTGGTATTTCAGCATTTTTCAAAATTTTCTCATGATCAATTTCACTATACTTGCACCACTTCTAATTTGAAAAAATAAACTATAAACTAAAGAAAAAAAAAATTAAAAGCATAAAAGAAAAAAAAAAGAAATAAGGAAAGAAGAGAATAAAAAACAATTAAGAGAAGAAAAGAAGAGAAGAGAAAAATAAAAAATAAAATGAAATAAAATAAAATTAAGGAAAAGAAAAAAGGGAAAAAAAGACATTATACAATAAAAAGTTATTTTACAGCTTATTCAACCAAACACTACTATACTGATTAAATTGATAATCCCACAGCTATACCAAACAGGTTAACAGCTTATATTTAAAGCTATAAGTTATAATCTGTTAAGCCATAATCTATAATCATTTTCCCACAGCTCTACCAAACAGGGCCATTCTCTTGCAACAGAAATTCTCTGAAATATGCAATTTAACAGTTCATCATTTTCTACACATTCTTGTTTGTGCAACCTATTTACCTGTAAATTTTAAGCCGTCAACCGCAAATCCATCTGTCTAATTGGTTGAGCAGGAAGTAGAAAGGGTGTTACTCTTTCTAGCCACCAAACCCTTGCACATTGACACAACGGTGTTGTTTAAAGGCAAAACTCTGAAAAGGTATTTTCTTTCCTTCATCCTTTCCACCCATTTTTGGGCAGATTGATTTTTTGGTGGCCTGTAGGTTTTAATCCACCTCTAGTTTTCCTTCCCTTTCCTTTCCCAGCAAATGAAGGATTCAATCTCTAACCCTTCCCTTTTCTATCCTCTTTTCCTGCCCTCCCAGCTCATCCCTTCTAACAAATAGATGCATGACTCCATAAAACCTTACTTTAAGGACTCGAAAGATCACAACACATGACAACTCTCTGGTCCTAAAGCCAAAAGAATATGATCACTTTTAAGGACATTCTTCAAAACAATGATCTAGCAGTGAATAGCACCCAAAATACTTTCTCCCGTACACTGAAGATATAAAAGCAGGCTACTTCCAAAGCTTTTGTGGATCCGGCATTTGCTCTTTTAAATCACTTACTGCCAAAGAATACCCTGCTCTTTCAACCTTTAGTATCCTCCTCATTCCCATTGTGCCACCCAAAGCACAATACTCTCAAAGCACTTCCATGGACCATCCTATCTATCATAAAAGCTTCAATGTAGATAACATTCGATAGCATACCACTCCCAGACAAGTCACCTCCTTACAATGTACTAAGGCAAATTAATTAATTTTTTTTTCAAAAAAAGACGGCAAATGGCATAGAACATTGTGATCAGAACAGCAAGGAGACAATCCCATTCATCTATTGTGCAAAGTAGCCTATCTCCCCTGATTCTAACAAAAGCCAGACTCCTCTTTCAAGGTTGCATCATTAAAATCCAAAGGGACCAAACATAAATCAGATAATAAAGAACTTATGAAAACAAGAAATTCAAATACGTCCATATGGTTCCATACAAACTCAACAATTAAAATATGGCAGCAGATAAACAGCGCTTTCAAACCCAAATTTACCACCAAATCTCAAAATATATTTCAGAAAGAAAAAAAGAAAAGAAAGCCAAGTTGTCTACTTAAAAGCATTTTATATTCAGAACCAACAACTCGAATGATAAAATAGCATGCCACATTTGAAAAAGTGGAAATCAACATAAACTTGTGCATTGTGGACTTAAGAAATCGAAGTTTACTCATGATGACAGACTCTAACCCAAAATCCAAATCTCAATAGAAAGATGATGTAAAGTATTGTTGCAGTCCAGAGTTACCAAAATACAGCTACGCACATTCTTTTGATGATCTGAACCAATGTTTCCGTCATTTGAAGAATACAAAAAAGACCTATCATCCCCCTGTTCTCCCAAAAGACGATTCTGCTTCAAAGTTTCATTCATTGCTCGCACAGCCCTGGAGTGGTCATTAAGCACATAATAAGCATAAAAATTTGTAGGATTATATATGTGAACAACATGGACATATGCTTCAAAGACAAATACAATTAGTTGTTACTTAATCAAACAAGCGTATCAAATGTATTTTTATGACATATGCATATCATGATAGGATGAGCAGTGCAACTTTAACCAGGCCATGATAGCCCCTGTCAGTTCAAGACCATGTTGATATACGTACTTCAAATCTACCCTGAAACAGCTAGTGCCTTAAACCCAATACAGAATCAGCTGATCAAACCATCACCTATGTATTAAATCACTTAAGTTAAACACATTAGTACAAGACATCGAATTTCTATCTGGAGCTGAAAGATTACTCTGTTTTTTAATAACAGCCCAGATCACAATCAATTGCTGATGTCAAAAGATTGTACAGAAATAATGAGAACAAGTCCAAAAAAAAAAAGAATAGAATAATCTTTTCAATTTATCTTCACTTATAAGTTATATTTCAAAAGTTCTCTTTGTTTTCACATCTTTAAATGTTTTCTTTTTTTCTTTCTTCCATTTTCTATATCACCACCTCCCAATCCTTAAACACCCATCAGAAAGAGAGACAGAGAGAGAGAGGCAGGGGAAAAAAAAACTCATGAAAGATCAAGTCAACACTAGCACCCATCCTGGGAATGGGAATTTAGATAACCTTGTTAGCAAATTTTTTTCAGGTTTTGTATTCTCTCAAAAACTATGTTTTGTTTTCTGTTCATGCCCGTGTACTTTCTGTAGACATTTTAATCTCATAATGCCATCATCATTGGACAAAGATGTTTTGGTCACAAGTTATTGTTTTATAGTGAACTACATAGGCGCAACCATAAATGGATACTTCGGTTTTTGCTGTCATTAATAACACACAAACTCTTTTTTTAATCGTTACAAACATACTTTAACTATTTTTTACATTTAATTTTTTAATTGTTATATGTCATGTACTAGTGTTAATTACAAAAAACAAATAAACAAATTTATAGACGTACCAAATTGTACCTGTACCCTACTCTTTTTTTTATTTTTGTTTTGCCATATCAGCGTACCCATAACATACCCACACCCATGCTTCCTAGGATTACAGAGAAAGCATATAAATCTGCAATTACTCCGCATGTGTTGTTCTTAGTGTTTAATCTTCTACAAGACTACAACCAATCCCAAGCCCGAAGAAAAGAGAAAAATTGTTATAGGTTGACAAACAACGTACGACTTAGTCACACATCATGGACGTGAATCCTAAGAATTTTTCAATAGGGGCGTTGAATAAAACCAGCTTGAGGAAATGGATCCATAAATTTGACCCCAAGTAGTTGGGAGGCTTCTTGAATTGTCGACAGATGGAAAATTTGCAGTGCAAGCATTGTTATCAAAGAACCAAGATAAAATTAAATGAGAACTAGAATACACCAAAAGAGCTTCACATGAACAACTATGAAAAATTATATATATATATATATGTGTGTGTGTGTGTGAGAGAGAGAGAGAGAGAGAGAGGAAATAGTTTTATAGTTTATGACAAAAACTTGTGCCTTAACATTCCTCAAGTAAATTAGAGCACCAATTTGTTTCCATAACTGTCTATTAAGATCTCTATATGTTGAGAAAACGGAGGATTTTTTTCCCTTTCTTTTAGGTAAGTTGCTCACTTATTCAATGGAGAATTCAGCAATGCTAACAAGTCACACTCAAACCCTGATAGAAAAAGCGAGAATAATAAGAAGAAGAAATCGGGAGCATCTTGTACCAGTGGCGAGCTTCAGCATCATCATTATCATTGCCATCTTCTCTCCTCTTTATGCTACTAGCTCCTCCGCGTCTCATACCTCTCTCTCTCTCTCTCTCTCTCTCTCTCTCTACATATATATATATATAAGAGTGTGTACACACTTACATAGATATTATATATTTCTATTCAAGAAATCTGAAACCTGAAGTAATTAATACACCACCCCATTACTTTTTAAGACATTTATGACACAATCTCTACTAACATTATATTCATGCCCCCTTGACTTTTCAATATCTTTCGAGAAAACCCTATTCTTTTTTTTCTTCCTTTTTTTTTTTTTTAATCAACAAAAAAAAGTACAAAAAGAGGACAAGGAGTCCTCATCAAAAGAAACCAGACGACTCAAATCCAATGAAGAGAGAAAACTTATACAATCACAAATAGCTCTCCAATCTCTAAAAAGTCAAAAAAAGCTCTCCAATTTCTAAAAAAAAAAAAAAAAAAAAAAGAGGGGTCCCTTTAATTGAAGTCGAAACAAAGGCCCACAACAATGCAAAGGGACACAATCTATCCTAAATATCCTTGCATTCCTTTCCATCCATATAACCCAAAACATTGCGAAAACAACACAACACCACAACACTTTTGCTTTCTTTTACCCCCAAAACCTCGAAAGTAAATATCATATGCACACACATACCCTGTGCCACCCAAGGGATACCAATCATACAAAAGAGAGAATGCCAAAGATCCAAAGCCACTTGACAATGTAGGAATAGGTGATCCAAAGACACCTCACTCCTCCTACACATTATGCACCATTGAGGACAAAGAAAGTGATGAAGTCTCCTCTTTTGAAAAATACCATTAGTCATGATCTTCCCATGAGCCAAAGACCACTTAAAATTCTTACCTACATAGGCACAACCACTTTCCAAATTCTCTTGTGGAACAAAAAAGAAAGAACATTTGACTTATGAATGAGAATTTCGAAGAAAGATTTGTCTGAAAAAATGCACGATGAATGATTTAGCCAAACCCGCTTATCACACATTTGGAGACAAAGAGAAACCATCAAGCAAAGACAACAAAGATGCCATCTCAAGAGATTCCCAATCATTTAGATTTCCATGTAGATTGAAATTCCATGAAATCAGTGCCAAACTTGAACAAGCCAAAGAAGCAATGGAAGCATTATGAGGACGAACTAAACGAAATAAACATGGAAGCATCACCTCGAGAGAGGCTTCCCCAGCCCAAACGTCCTCCCAAAACCGAACATGTTCTCCATTACCCACCCTCAAGGAAAGAAATCTAAAGAAAAGTGAAAGAATATGGGAGATAGATTTTCATAGAGATCAACAACTGCCCCTATTAACCACAGGAGTGTCTCTACCCTAGCTAGCAGCCCGTATTTGCTTTAATAATGGAATGCCACACTGAATTGCACTCAATAGGGAGTCTCCATAACCACTTTCCAAGAAAAGCAGTGTTCCTAGCCACAATATTGCCAATAGCTAGTCCTCCTTTCTCCTTAGGAAGGGAAACTACTTCCCAATTAACTAAGTAATCCTTCTTCCTTTCGAGAAAACCGTATTCAGATCTCCTTCTTATTTATTTATTTATTTATTTTGATTTGAGAAATTATATACAACATATAAATTATTATATCACATTCTAAACTTAAACACAAACACAATACATATATGAGTGTTCTATATTTAAGTGTTCTTTGCCACTGATTGTTATTGTTCTCATCAATTTATTATTCGATGCTATAAAAGGAATTCTTATAAAGAAAAATTCAGAAATCAAACCAGAATAATATTACTCATTAACATATAGGTTGTCTAATTTAATTAACTGCTATTTACACTGTTTGATTTAGCAATCTAATGTTGTAAGGCATAAAACCTTACAGTACCACTAAACTAATTTCATATTTAATTAGACCGTCTGACAAATGTGGCTAAAGGATAATAGTTCAAAATTTTGACGATTAAAAGGGTCCAAATAAACTTCTCACTGCTGGTGGTATAAGTTTCAGCAACTTACCATTTTTGTACTCTACACACCACATATTTATCATTTTAAAATTAAAAAGCAACATTTTGACACTTAACATCACTGCGCTTCTAACAACATTTACCAAACCTTCGTTAAATTTTCCATGTTTTGCTTCCACTATCAGTAATTTCTCCCAATTTAAATCCGTAGCTCCATTGGTATTTGTGTCAACATGTTTTAATTATGGGAGAATAGAAGATAGCAAGGAAGAGAGAATAATATAAGTAATGCTTCTTCCATTATTGGATTCATATGAAGTGGAAAGAAAGAAGAGAAACGGAATGAGTAAGAGAAAATATATACCTTCAGAGGTTCAGAAGGACTATTTTGAAAGTGAGGATATTTGGCGTGGCTCAAAGAGATATAATGTTTCAGTCAAGGTAAAAATCTATTAAAGAGGGCGTGCATGAATTCTGTTTCCCCTTCCCCTTCATTTCTCTCCACTAACATTCTAAAATCAATTCATGAAATTTTATTGCCTTTACTTCTCTTCTTTTCCCTTATTTAAGGAACCAAACAGCATTTAAGTCCTTGTTTATGATCAGGGACAGAATAACTAAACTTTTCAAGACAATCAAATATCTAAATAAATCACTACAGTCAACCAGTCAAGTCATGTCAAAGGAGAACACTATCAAAGTAGCAAATCCCATAGCATAGCATAGGCTTGTAGGATATTCCCATCAAATAAAGGCTTGGTCACAATTTACATATATCATTATCTCTTTCCATTTTGTGCCCCAGTGAACAGCAGTTATATTTATTTCTCACTTATGAAGTGATGACTACACCATGATGTTAGACAAATGTTTTCATGAAACTTACATCATCACAACCAAGGACACAACCTTGATGATAATAGGCATCTATGCAAGCCAAAAAGCTTGGTGGGAACATAGCGAAATTGAGTGTTTACATTTCCAAACCTAGCAAGACAAAGTTATCATTGACATTAGCCATCACTGCAAAATGTTTGGGGCTAAGAGAAGCAATTCATTGGAGCTTAGGTGGACAGTGTGACTCCATAGTTCTCATTATGCGATGTACCAAACAACTTCTGATGCAACTTCTGATGCAGGACAGTTTTAGCAAATATGGAACAATGCTCCTATGATAGGTTTTATGGAATGTTCAGTTGACGAAACGTTATAGGTTTAGGGTTTTAGTAAGGTAGGAGAAATGTTCTAGGGTTTGCAGACACAAATGAGAGGACTTCAGGAATTAGGATGGTTTCTTGATGGATATATTCATACACTAGTCACTGGAAATTTTGGGATAGTTGTTACGTAATGGTTTATGGGTTTTAAGCACTTAATTGAAGACCAAAAGGCAGGGGAGAGAGTTAGGGTTAATTTAGGCTTGGTTGCACAGGCTTTAGGACTGAAACTGATCAGGCAGCAAGTAGACTACACCAATATTAGGGTTAGTAGAGGAACTCTTTATTTAAGGGAGTTCCACTTTTTTTGGTAGCTAGAGATTGGTTGGCGTTTTGTGATATGTAGGATTTTGCCCGTGTTTAGCTTGTTAGGGGTTTTCAATGTTGTAGTCTCATTGTCCTTTTGTAAGAGGATGTCTCATCCTCGATTCCTTTTCTGATTTATCAATAAAGCTTTTGTTGTTGATCAAAATATATATATATATATATATATATTAAGTCTACTGCTTAGTGAAGAGGAGAAGAAAAAGGGTTTCAACCTCACAGTAGTAAAGCAAACCCACATCTCAAAAAATTAACTGTATTGACAGAAAGATTACATGCAAATTTATAGTGGTTGGGTCTGTCCTGAATCCAATAGGAGTCTAGGATTAATACACAATATAGAAAACATTTAAAGTTTAACCAATAAGATTATTTTAGTCCCTCTAAAGCCCACTCCCGCTAAAGACCACATAAACATTGAACAACATAACTTGACTCATAACACAACCCATGACCCATACCAAGGTTCTGAAAAATGGTTGCAGTCACTGTAATGGTGGCGGTGGCATAGTCGTGGTTGCAAGGTGTAAAGACCATAGCGTAACAGTTGTGATAATCAGAACCGTGAATTTTTTTATTTTTCGCACAATTTGAAAAAAACTTATCGATACACATATTTTTTTTCAAAATCATATTTATTGGGTTTTAAAATAATTTTTTGATCAATTTTTGTTAATTTTTAAGTATAATCCAATATATTTCATAGTTTTAAATCACCACAAATTGAGTTTTTTACATTTTATTTTAATAATTAATGACTTTATATGTCAGAAATCATATTACAAGTTGCGGCAAAATTTTCTTTTATTGGACTTAGATATATGGAATTATTTTTTTAATTATTATACTTGTGGAAGTATATGCAAATTTTAACCTGAATAGTTTTCAAAAATAAATTATACATGCTAATGTAATCATAAAAAAATTAAAAAATAAATTACAAAGAAAAAAAATTTATACACGGTTTTTTTCTTTAGATTTGGATCACTTGAATATTCGTTCTCTTTTTGGATAAGCTGTAAATAAAAATAAAATAAACTAATCAAAAAAAATTGGTATATATAAAATATGTATTAATTTATAATTATAGGTGTTATGTTTTCTAGATATTTTACAAAAAATCAATCAATAACTATTATATATAAGATAAACAATGACAAAAGTAAGAGAATAAATAAGATCCTAAATATATATATTTTTTAATCAAGCCAAATAGATAATGATTACACTTATTATTATTATTATTATTATTATTATTATTATTATTATTATTATTATTTCAAACAAAAATTACATGGTTGAGTGAACTTCTCCCTGCAAGATGAATGGGTGGGCAACATCATCTTCAACAAATTAATAACAGGTTCTTCATCTTCCATCTTCTCTCTCTCTATCTCTTACTCCTCCATCTTCCCTCTACTCTCTCTATCCCTCTTCCTACCTTTTTAGGCTCTTTTTTTTTCCCCGAAAGAAACTGTTTGGAACCGTTACGTAATGGTGTATAACGCGCCGTTATGGCACCACTACGGCCAGCACACATGTGAATTTGAATCACACCGCAAAAGATGGGGGTAAAGCGTGGTGCCTACCACTGCAACCGTTACGTAACGTCCACAACCATTATGTAACACCGCATTTTGAAACCTTGTCATACTACAAGTTTAAAATCCATGTCTAGCAAATCATTGTTAGTTACTTTGTATAGTTGGTTGGAAATGAGGGGGGATCCGGATTTGTTTACTTTTTTGGACCTTTTAGATGATGTTATTGGTTAGGCGTTTTTTAGATGATTTCTAGTTGATTTTAGTGAATTCCCATATTGGGATTTTTTGTATTCTTTTGCATCGTTTTGATGCTTTCTCAATAAAGTCTTGATTATTTACCCCCCAAAAAAAAAATGTTTAGCAATTAAAAAATTAACAAATTACCCTTGATTATTAAACTTAAAAAAAACATAAAATAATGATACTAGTATTGACTAATCTTAAATAAATATAAATAAATAAATTTATAATAAAAATTTTAAAAAATCAAAAAAAAAAAAAAACTTAAAATTCAACCGAGACTTCATTCAATAAAGTCCTAAGAATTGCCATGTGAAATTTCATAGATTTCCCTATTGAATTTTCCTTGTTATCATACTCTGGGTCATAATGACATGGTTATGTTTTAGTAAGCAACAGAGATTATATTAATAAGAAGAAAAGGATTACAAATACAAAAACAGGACAAAGCAGTACTCAATAAAAAGAGAAACAAAAGGTTGTAAATTACAAATAACATAAAGCTCTCCTATCCCCTACTAATCAAAAACAAAGGAACTCCCTTAAAAGTTGGTGATACTAAGACCCAAAAAGAAATAGCAAACTTCGTCCCAATTACCCTCAATACCATTGAACTTATCTTCAAAAGTCCTCGCTGTTCTTTCCAACCAAACTATGCCAAGTATTGTACCGATCCACAAAACATTACCTCTCTTATTAGAACCAAACTCCCTAAAATCAATCAAAAACATTTGAACACATGATGCACAAATCACCCACTCTACCCCATCCAATCCAAATAATCTCCGCCATAACCCAAGGCTACAGCGCAATGCAAATTAAACTATCAATACTCTCTAACTCCCTTCTACACATAACACACCACTAATGGCATAAAAAGCAATTAAGTTTCCCGATTTGAATCATGTCATGTGTATTGAGTTTCTTATGAGCCAAAGTCCAAGCAAATATTTTAACTTTAAGGAGCACATTTGACTTGGACTCTATATCGACAATTGAAGAAGCAAACATGTACAAATAATTCAAAAGGATGCGAACTCTCCCTTATAGCCTTGGTAATGTAATTTGGGGATCATGATTCTCTTTTTCCTTCCACTTTTATGTCTCTTCCAAACCAAGTGTTACTTTATCTATTGCAATATCCCCTCCAACTTGTATTAAGCACTCCCCACCCTTCATTGATTTGCAATTTTATTAAAGAACTGCATAATTTAATCAACTACCATGCTAATTATATCCAAATTAAAGAATTAAAAAAAAAAATACTAACATAACACCTCATATTTGGAGGATATAAACTTTTAACTGAAATAAAAGGCAACGATAAACAGAATGAAAGAAATCGAAATTGAAGGGAAAAAAAGGTGATCTGGCACAAGATGTATCTTTTAATAAAGATGAAAATAAAACATAACAAGACAAACATCAACCTTACGATATCATCACCGATCTCAGGAGTAATGCTAATGCTTCTCCTTCTTATTCTACGAGTTTCTGACGTTGAGGCACCTTCGGACCTGAAGGAACATCAGAATAAGAAATTAGTATTTGATACCTTACAATTTGTTTCTTTCAAAAACAAAACTTGCTCTGTAGTTTAGTTCTTTGAAAGTACCAAGAGAACCCAAAAATAGTAATGAAGCAGCAGCTAAATGACAATAAAATATGAGTTGTAATCGTACTGATAAAAAATTTAAAAAAAAAAAAAACCTAAAAAAGAAAAGATTAACTCATCTCTTCTCCCAAAAAAAAAAAAGATATATAAATGAATAAATGGAAAGCCACAAAAAATAAGGAATAGAATTTAGAGAGAGAGAGAATGAATAACAATGGAAAATGAAAAAGCCACCTCACATAGCTCATCAGCTTCACTACAATTTAGTCTTACATGGAGGTAACAGTTAATCCAAAGAATAAATTGGGGTATATGATCCAAATATATGAATATCCAGAAGTGTGAAAACACCTCAGACCACAAGAAGATTTATTTCCACACTTGCTTTCTCTCTCTCTCTCTCTCTCTCTCTCTCTCTCTCTCTTCTTGTTGGGTAGGCAAGAGGTTGTTTGTTGATTTTGTACTTGAATAATACGCTAGCACTCAGCTTAGAATATTCTGCACTGAAAGTTCAAAAGTAATATCCAATACTTCAAACTAGCCAAGCAAAATTCTTCATTTCTTAATTTGTGTGTCAGATTATCGGCATAAATGGCAATCAAGTCCAACAACATCAATATAAACCAAGCAATAACAAGGTTTTAGCCAACAGTATTGGCCTCCATAACAGTACCAATGGGAGTGAGGCAAAACAGGAGTGTAATAAACATTGCTTAAATATATTTATACGTATATAATATGCACAGAAAATATATTTTTTAAATATAATAAGACTAAAATATTACTCTAACATCTAGTTTCACTCATTTATTTGTCATCTTACATTTAAATATAAAAAAAAAAATCAATATAATAAGACTAAAATATTACACTAACATCTATTTTCACTCATTTATTTGTCATCTTACATCTTTAATCCGCATTATCTCTAATTTTTATTAGTTTTCTTATTTTTAAAGTTACAAAATTAACCTACCCCCACACCCAATATGATATGGGGTGGGGGCGGAGGACAACAAATCTACTCTAGACTGTCCTTAATGCCATTTCTTCCCTGATATGACATGAGGTGGGGGAGGGGGACATCAACCCGCCCCATTGCCATCCCTCATTCAGAGGCTAAGAATTCATCTCAACTAAAGAAATTGGAAAAAAAGAGAAAAATGGTGCCTGACTAATGTCATTACATTGCCATAATGGCTATAGATGTAACACTTTATTTTATTCTAGTCAAAACATTAGCTTTCATTGAGACTAGACAGGGCTTAAACCATTACATCGCACAATATTTTGACTTCTTTTAAAATCTTGGGCTATGCATCCTAAATCGGCCAAATACTCCAAAATTACATATATTTGACCTCAAATTATGACGAAAATTGACACCAACATTTCAAGTGATGGTGAACTGTAGCTTGACGGTTACCACTGTAAATCCCTCAATTTGAGTATCGAGGAGAGATGCGTTTTCACTACGAGTTACTATTCCCCACTAATCTCATAATCAAAATTCAAGCAACTAACAATCCAAAAGCGCCCAAAAATCAGATTAGTATTAGCACCTTGAACACAGAAATTCATTAACATCTCTTCATGTTACCTTCAAAGCCACAAGCTTTTAAAGAGGCTAAATATTGTTATGCTAAAATGTGTTGAAGATCATTGGCAAAAATAAGGAGAATACATTCATTAAGCTAAATTGAAATTAAAAAAGACGTAAGCACCTTGATGTAGCTATGTCTTCATAATCTCTAAATGATTTCCTATCACCACTAAGCATAGATCGTCCACGTGCACGTAATGAAGGATGCTCTGGACTGGAAAAGAGAAAACAATTCAAAAACAAAACTAACGCCATGCATGAAAATAAATATTTCACAATAGTCTCATAGTGCTGACTTTCAAGAACTACATCATCCTGAAAATCATGGACATTCAAGTAAAAAAACAAAAAACCATTTCGGGCTTATTCAACGATGCTCTGTCTGTCATGCCTGCAATTCTATTCCTAATGCTACACAATATAACGTACTATAGATGTTCTTCCATCTTTTCAGGAGACCTTTACTCAAGCTAGAATACCAAATTAGATGTATGAAAGCTATCAAAGTGGTCTTCTCAGGGCTGAGTCGTCCATCCCAGAAGAGGCCCATAAGTGAGGAATGGAAATATAAAGGAAGACTCTAAAGAGCCTAATTTGGTAAATAAGGAAATGGGCCCAATTGGGGCAAGCATTGAAGATTGGCCCAGTCCTTTGTTTTCCACCGGGTTGGAAATGAAACCCAATCCTTCAGGTGAGAAGCATAAACTTTTCATCTAGAACCTAGAGCTTGGTGGATCTATGAGCCAAGGTGAAATGGAGGCATTCAAAGGGCCAGCTATGTGTTTAATTTTGTTGGAATAAAGTTAGTGGTTAAGGCCTTCTCTTTTTCTCTTGGACTTGGATTTCCCTTCTTTAAGGACGTATAGAAGGAGAGGAGGTGGTTCTGGTAGTAGTAGCAGGGAATTGGTTTCCAATGATCAAAGCAAGGTTGGAGGGGAGGGGAAGAGGATAACATTTTTCGTGGCAAGGAATCAAAGGTAAATGCTCTAACAATGAAGGAGAATGGTGCTGGTTTCAATTGAAGTTGTGACAGGGGTGGGCAATTTATTGTGTACAACCCCCCAAGGAGTGAATGGGGATGGATGCTCAAAAAGAAGGAAATGTTGGGGGATGTCCAAAGGGTGGTGACGTTGAGTGTAGAAGTAGAACTCAGGACTCATAGGAAGGAAAAACTGGAGGCAGGAGTCCTCAGTTAAGGTGATGTGTCCTGTGGACTGGCTCCACTAGCAGTGTTGGGGTGTTTGCATGGATGTTGAGTAAAATTAAGGGCCTTACAAATATTTGAAGTTTTACTACGACGGTCAAAATAGGCTAATAGGCATTGACACTCCAAGATGGGTGTCGTGACTGTATACTAATTTTTTAAGATTCCCCGTGTCCGTGCTGCTAAGACAATAGATAATGAACATTTTTGCAAATATAGAAAGAATATGGAGGTTTGGGAGTAGGGTGCGTGGAATGAAAGCATTTTAGTAGGTAAGAACTTTATGGGATGGAAGGCGAGTGGAGTTTGTGATGTTGAAGACAAATGATAATACTGTTGGGGGCATCTTGGGAATGTGGGATTCTACCAGAGCATTGGAAAAGGAGGTAACAGTGGACTCCTTTTCAGTCTCTTATTTGTTTAGGAATGTAGATGAATGACATCCAAATCCAATGGGTAGTCTTAGGTGTCTATGATCCAACTAATAACACCGAAAGGAGAAAAGTATGGAAAGAGAAGTTAATGTAGAAAGGTTTCCCTAAACGAGATAATTGTTAGTATTATAGAGGAGCTATGAGCGAGTTTTCGAATTTCATTGTCCAACAGTCACTAGTGAATTCCTTTAGACAGAGGAAGGTTCACATGGCTCAATAGTCACTCAATGTCAAGGATTGACATAATCATGCTCAATCCAAATTGAGAGCCTATGGTCTGATTGGAATTTTTTTTGTCTCATTGAGTTCAATACAACATTTTAAACTTGTGATTGGGACACCAGGACTACTATTTTGATTAAAGTTTCACCCTTTATTATTTTATTTATTTTTTGGGGTGATAAATGGCCTCATTAATCTGAGTGTTATGCTCCCATTGTGATTTGTGTTTGAGATTGCTTGCTTATTCCATTCCCTCTTCCCATTATTGTGAATAGTGTTGTGTTTTTTGGTTTAGATAGTGGCATAGACATGGTTGACCCATCTAGTGAATCCACTACTTCTCACCCAGCTAAAGGGGAGAGTCCCAATCCAATTATGACTACAACTTCTGAGAACCTCAACCTTAGCCTAAAAATCACCACCTCTCTATTAATGATCAAAATTACCTTGCATGGTCTCAATGTCTGACACTTTTCCTGAAGAGTAAGGAGAAGATGGGATATGTAGATGGAAGAGTTCAAATACCAAATATTAGTATTACTAATCCTAACTAAAATCAATGGGAGATTACCAACTCTTTGATCATGGGATGGCTCATTCATTCCGTGGCCCAAGAGATTGGTAAAGGTTATTTATCCATAGAGACTGCCCAGGATGTTTTGGAGGCAATAGCTGCTATATATTCCCGAAAGGGGAATTTTTCTCTGTCATTTGAGTTGCGCCGGTCTATTAAGCGCTCAATTTAGGGGAGCAAACAATTCTTCAGTATTGCACCTTTCTAACTAATGGTTGAAAACGCATAGATCATCTCCTGGATTACAAAACTGTCTACACCATTGATTCAGTTGGTTACCGAAAGTTTCTTGCAGAAGAGAGGATCTTCAAGTTCTTAGAAGGCCTCAATGTGGAGTTTAACCTGGTCCAAAGTCGTGTCATTGGCATAGATGTTCTTCCATCTTTTCAGGAGACCTTTACTTATGTCCAGAATAAAGAGAGTCGTCGTTTTGCTATGTTACCTCCGACTTCTACAGATCGTTCAACATTACTTTTTGCACCTTCTCAAGATGGGGCTGGTTTGCCACTTTCTTCTTCTCATCCTTCCGGGAAGGATAGTTTGTTCTATGATTACTGTCGCCGGCCGAGACATACCCGTGAGACTTGTTGGAAGCTTCATGGGACTCCATAAGGGGGTCGAGGAGACCGCTCTGGTCATAGAGGCGGTCGTTCTAGTCAGTCGAGAGGACGTAGGTCCCACTCTCACGCTCATCAGTCCAATACTGTAGAAATACATTATTCAGCTCCAGTAGACGTCTGAGGGACTCTCTAGTATGTCATCCTTTGAGTTTGAGGATGCCCTAAGCACTTTGCTTGATCGTCGGTCTCTTGTTCTTCCAAGTGCATCTTCTGCTTCTTCTTTGTTTGCCCATTTAGGTAATTTAGCCTCATCTTCTAGTGTTTTCTTACCCCATAAGGCCTTGACTTAGATTATTGATTCTGGTGCCTCAGATCATATGTCTGGGTCTTTTGATCTCTTCTCAAACTATACCCCAACCTCTGGTGAGTATAAAGTTACGATTGCAAATAGTATTATTTCCTCTGTCTTCGAGAAAGGTTTAATCCGTGCCACCCCTTCTCTACCTTTGTCTTCTTCTATTTTACATGTACCTAATTCTTTTGTTTACCTATTGTCATTGAGTTATTTTACTCGAGATTTGAATTGTAGTGTAACTTTTTTTTCATGATTCTTGTCTTTTTGAAGACCTTATCACAAAGAAGACGATTGGCTGTAGTAGAACGAAAAATGGTCTCTATATCTTAGATCAAATTGACCAGCATGCTCATCATTCCATCCCATCTCCATCCACCACAGAAAATTTATGGTTGTGGCATCAGCTTCTAAGATGTCCATCTTTTTTGTTGCTTAGACATTTATTTCCTTCTGTTTTTATTAAAAATAAAATCTCTGAGTTTCATTGTAAGTCATGCCAACTTGGCAAACAACACCGAGCTTCTTTTGCTCCTAGTAATAATAAAAGTTCAGTTCTTTTTTCTTTAATTCATTCGGATGTTTAGGGTCTCTGTCGTGAAATGTCTATAAAGGGTCATCGATAGGTTGTTACTTTTATAAATGATTGCTCTCGTGCTACTTGGGTGTACCTTGTGAAAGGAAAAAAAGTGAGGTTTTTTTCTGTGTTTCAAAACTTCCATAAGATGGTTCATACTCAGTTTGGGACGGCTGTCAAAGTCTTGCATTCTGATAAAGGAGGGTGAGTACATTGATTCGAGGTCAGCTCAATATTTTTCCACTCATGGCATTATCCATCAAACATCTTGCACTGACACCCCTCAACAGAACGGGGTTGCCAAGCGCAAGAATCATCAGGTCCTTTATATGGCTCATTGTATGTGTTTTTTTTATGGGTGTCCCTCGAGCCTATTGGGCCGAGGTTGTTCTCACTGTTGCATTTCTCATTAACCATCTTCCTACACAAGTCTTATAAAAAAATGCACCTCTTCAAGTTCTCTTAGATTCTAAGTCTCTATTTTCCATTCCTCCAAAAACCTTTAGCTGTATCTGCTTTGTTCACAATCATTCTCCTTCTCGAGGTAAGATGGATCCTCGTTCTCTCAAATGTGTGTTCTTGGTTTACTCCCCTACTCAAAAAGGGTAGAAGTGTTATCATCCTCCCTCACGTAAATAGTTTGTATCCATGGATATCACATTTTTTTAGTCTCACTCCTACTTTTTCTCCAATCCCAAGTCTCAGTCCTCTCTTCAGGAGGAGTCTTGGAATGAAGAGAGTCCTATTGCTTCTATTATTCTTGGCTCAGTAATGCCATCAGAGGTACCTATTATTCCCAGTACAGTACTACCTCTAGTGGTATCTATCACTAGCAATACAGAATCTGATGTTACCAAGAACAAAGAAGGGCAAGTCTATGTCAGGGATAAGGAAAGGCAGAAAATTGGATACAAGAGACCATTTCTGATCAATCACTGCCGTCTCCTTCTCTTGATGAAGGTCCAAGCAATCCTGAAACTCTTGATATTGCTACCTCTGAGCCTAAGCCTAATGATTTTGATATATCTATTGCCAAGAGGAAAGAGTGTGAGATCTTGCACTCATCATCCTATTTCTAACTTTGTGTCTTATTCTCGTTAGTCCTCTACATATAAAGCCTTTGTGTCAAATTTTCTATGTTAGTATACCTAATCATTTTTAGGATGCTCTTACTACTCCTAAGTGGAAACTAGCCATGGAGGAGGAAATAAAAGCACTTCATAAGAATGGCACTTAGGATTTAACTGAGTTACCTAGGGGCAAACAAATTGTAGGATGCAAATAGGTGTATACGGTGAGGCACAAGGCAGATGGTTCAATTGAGCGATATAAAGCCCGGCTTGTAGCAAAGGGTTTTACTCAGACCTATAGGATGGACTACCAAAAGACATTTGCTCTAATTGAAGATGAATTCAATCAGAGTACTTCTCTGTCTAGCAGTTAATCTAGATTGGCCACTTTATCAGTTTGATGTGAAAAATGCTTTCCTGCATGTTGACCTAGAAGAGGAAATCTATATGAATATTCCTCCTGGCTTTGAAACTCTTCAAACTAATGGTAAGGTGTGTTGACTTCGGAAGTCATAAATGGCCTCAAGCAATCCCCTAGGGCTTGGTTTAAGAGGTTTACTGAGACGATGTTGAAATATGGCTTCAAACAGAGTCAAGTTGATCATACTCTGTTTGTCAAACATTCCTCTCATAGTAAGACTACAACTCTCATTGTATATGGGGATGATATAGTTCTTAGAGGAGATGATGTTGAGGAAATCCCATTGTTGAAGAAGTATTTGGCAAGTGAGTTTGAAATCAAAGACTTGAGGAACCTGAAATACTTTCTCGGGATTGAAGTGGCTAGGTCCAAAGATGGAATTTTCATCTGTCAGAGAAAATATGTCATTGACCTATTAAAGGAAACAGGGATGCTTGGAAGCAAAGCTTGTGACACACCACTAGAGCCTAATCAGAAACTTTGTGATGATAGTGGAGGAGCAGTCATTGACAGGGGGAGTTATCAGAGACTAGTGGGTAAGCTCATTTACTTATCCCATTCTCATCCTGATATTGCTATTGTCATGAGTATGGTTAGCCAGTTTATGCATGCTCCTCATGAAACATACTTGGCTACAGTTATGAGAATTTTAAGATACTTGAAATCTTCTCCTAGAAAAGGTCTTTGGGTGTGTTTGGTTTGTATTTTGAAACACGTTTTTGGAAGGGTTACAAATTTTCTCAAAAAAATTCCAAAATTACTTATCTCTCAATTACACATCAATCAATCACTTTTTCTCTCTCTTTCTCAATCACTTTTTCTCTCACACACATCTACTCAATTACAATAAAATATCAAATCATCCCAAACTTCAAAACTATTTTCAAAATATACAACCAAACAAACCAAAAAAAATTCTAAACTTTTTTCCCAAAATTTCTTTTTCAAAATTTATCTTAAAACACAAACCAAACATAGCATTTATTTTTTCAAACATGATCATCTTAGTATGGAAGCTTATACGAATGTTGATTGGGTAGGATCAGTCACTGATAAGAGGTCCACTTTAGGGTATTGTACCTTTATTGAAGGAAATTTGGTTACTTAGAGAATTAAGAAACAAAATATGGTTGCCCGATCTAGTGCAAAAGCTCAGTTTAGAGCTATGGTACCAGGTGTGTGTGAGCTCTTGTGGATCAAGTTGTTGCATGATTTGGGAATTGAACAGAAAGACTCCATGCGACTATATTGTGATAATAAAGCTGCTATCAACATAGCTCACAATCCAGTTCAACATTACAGGACAAAGTATGTTGAGGTGGATCGTCACTTCATCAAAGAAAAGCTTACTAGTGGCACAATATGTACTCTATTTGTACAATCTGGTGAGCAACTTGAAGATATCTTCACCAAGGGAGTTGAGAGTAAACCATTTCATGAGATTCTTGGCAAGCTGGACATGAGAGATATCTGCACGCCAGCTTGAGAGGAAGTGTTAGAATCTATGTTAGAATCTTCCTATTATTTGTTTCCTTAGATTATTCTGTAATTCCTTAATTAATGGCTTAGAGCTTTCTTTGCAACGGTTGGTTGATTAATATAAAGGGAGTGATATCATTATCATTCCCTAAGTTGATTTTCCCTAAAAGCAAACATAATGTGCATTCAAGAGGGAATCATATGGGAAGGATTACTTGATCCTAATAGAGATTGTATACAAAGCCGGGGGTGAGAAGGCCTCTCCTTAAAAATATTAAGTTTCTTCTATTTGCAAAAAATGAGAAAATTTTGCTAGAAGGGCCCTCTCTTTTTTTTTTTTGGTTGGAATAGGAGGTGGTTGAGGCTCTTAAGAGTGTTAATTGGGAGAAGGCTTTTGGCCCAAATGGATTCACATTAGGTTTTTTTCAAATATGAGGGGTGCCATGAGGAGGGATGCTAAGGAAGTTCTGCAAAGCTTCTATAAATCAAGGGAGTTTGAGAAGAGTTTGAATGTTGTATTCATCTTTTTGCTGACGAAGAAGGGGGGAGCAGTGAATATTAAGGATTTCCGTCCTAACAGCTTGGTTGGTAGCGCGTACAACATCACTGGCTTGAAGGCTAAGAGAAGTGATTGGGAAGGTCATCTCCTATGCAGCATGAATACTTTTAAAAGGAAATCGCATCCACATCATACCCGTATCGGACACTGATACTCTTCGGATATCGGATACTTTTCGAACACTCTTATTATGAAATTGAAATTGAAACTATTATGAAATTGTAATAATTTTTGCTTATTGTTAAGAGTACAATTATTAGGTTAAATACAACAATAGTTTTCAATAGTTTCTTATTTCTCACCAAAGAATAAAATAGTGGGATTATAATCCCCAAATAATACAAGTGATCATACACTTATGTACAGCAACTACATCTATTTGAGATATACTCTTGTTAAAAACAAAGCATTATAGAGATCTCCCAAACTCCAAATACTCTAGTAAAACAACTGTAAATCAACGACCAAACCTGAAATAAGTTTCCCATGACTTGAGAACTCTAAACCACCTCACTGCAAATTACTACTCTATTGTTATGGGAACTCTAACAGGATTATGCATCTGGTTTACCTACAGGATTATGGCATGCACAGTTAGGAAGACATTCATCAGGAAAAAAATCTAAGGAATTTGGGTATCTTCGCACATCTGTATGAAAAATACTGTCATAAAATATAATCAAGTTCTAGTATTTATAAAAATTTTAAAATAAATTATGATCGCCACATGGGCACTAAAAACCTTGAACTCGCAGTCCGTTGTTCAGCAATGACTTTTCTCCGGCTCCGCCGCCAAAATGTAGTCGCAATATTGGGTTCACTATGTGACAAACTGAGGCAATAAAAGATACCAATCATAACTGGCTCATATGAAGAAAAAAACAAAGTTTTCAATCAAATAGAGATTTCAACAGAATTCCAGAGATAAATAAATATAGACTTATCAGAAAACAATAAAAATAAATACATATGGAGAAATAAATATACAACAAACAGACGCCATTCAAAATTACATGGAATCCAGTTAGAATTACAAGATGAGCACTAGTAGTACCTCAATTTTCTGTCAAGTGAGGTGGAAGATCGCAACATCATACTTCGCAATGAAGGTCCTGCCACATTTGAGGATGCTTCTAATCTCCGCTGGTATTGGAAGCCCTCATCTTTCTCAGTACTGCATTGCAAAAAATAGCAATGACCAACCAATTTACAAGCAAAATCATCAACGGAAAAAATGTAAATCCCAGATTCAATTACCCAAAAAGAAAAATTCGAAAATCCATGTCGGGTATAACAGTAATAAGGGGCTAGAAAATAAGATTCAAAACCCATCAGTTAGTAAGTAGTTACTCTGTCATATTGCCTAACCTGTCAGGATCAACTCTCTCTGAAAACCCATACAGAGGACTATTTGGCTCTAATGGCGAATCACAAGAATCATTTTCTGCAGAATCACTCTCCCCTGCTGCAGAGATATGAGTCATATAAATCGCCTTCGTTGATCGGGGTATCAGCTGGCCAGGAAAACGCATAAGATCGACCAAAAGTTCCACAGAATTCAACACAACTATTACAGACATATGCTTATATGAGTCTATACACTCAACAGCCCCGTCATTAGGTAACCCCTGACAAGAAAACACACCAAATAGGAAAATTATGACATTAAAAAAAAGGGAAAACTTGTCATTTAGAATTAGCAACAATGATCCGCAATAAAACACATACAGAACAACTTTCTGTTTATTCAACTGAAACTGAGAGAAAACTAGTTAAAGAGACTCAACAAAGAAAGATCATATTTAAGTATCTCATTCTTTCTCTCTCTCTTTTTTTTCCCTCTTACAAGGTTATACACACCAAATTGACAAAAAAATACTTACCACCATGAGAGTACTTTCAAGACCTACAGCGTCAGCAAGAACTTTGAATAATATGGCTCGAGGACGGCATGATCCATGCTTTATTTGCCCCAGCATCTGGACACCTCGATTTACAAATGCATGAGAGGTTTCCTCGAGTGCAGCTTTTGCTGGACTTAGTTCCAAATTTGGCTGTTTATAAACATCTGATACCTGTTCAACAAGTGACATGAGTCAAACATCAAACTGTTAGAACATAGAACAACTCAACCATAAAGTATGGATACATACATGGAACACATGTACCACACATTAATGATACATCAATTTGATAAAATCTGAAAAAGAAGGGTACTACTTCAATCTCACTATTTTCTTCTTCTCTAACAAGTAAGCAAAGTATTGAAAAACTATTATTGTATTTATCCTAATAATTCTAATGTTATATAAGAATTATTCAGTGTGTTTGGTTTGAGCTTTTTGGATTAAGTTTTTTGAAAACTGAGTTTTTTGATTTTCGTGTTTTTTTGTTTTTAGTGAATATTTTAAAAATTTTAAACATTTTTTTTTTTACTTTTTTAGATGCACCTTACTTAGATATATCTAAAAAGTATAAAATTTGTGAAAAAATATTTTAAAAAATTAATAAATACATAAAAATACAAAAAATGTACTGAATTCTTGTATTTTTTTTTTTTGTATTTTTAGTATTTAGTGAATTTTTAAAAGGTTTTTTTCACAATTTTTTTACTTTTTAGGTATATTTATGTTAGATATGTCTAAAAAGTAAAAAAAAAAAAATTTGCTTAAAATATTAAAAAAATTCAATAAAAACAAAAAATAAGAAAGTAGAATTTACTGAAAAGTATTTTAGAAAAATGAAACCAAGCAAAGTGATTATAACCTCAAGTCTATAATAGTCCGGATATGTGACCACCAATATTTGAAAAGTCTCTGATACTTCACAATATTAAAGAAAAATATGGATAAATTAAGGAAGTATCGGATACTTATCTGCAAGTAATTGAGGAGTATCAATATCCAACATGCTTCATAAGTAATGGTAGATGACTGAAACTCTGGCATGTTATGTGAGTGGTGTAGGATTCCCCTTGCTAGAGGCCTTCCTAGAAGTTTTTAACGTAGTTATTGGAAAAAATGCTTTAGTTTCGGATTACTTGAGGATCTCCAAGTCAGGGATTGTATGGAACCTCAGTTTTTAGACTAGTTCAAGATTAAGAAATAGAAGCCATGGATGAGTTTTTGAGCTTTTATATGGAGTGGAGGTTATTAGAAGAGGGGATGAAGTGATGAATAGGGGAGTTGTAATGAAAGAAACTCATTAGATATTTCATATTTTTATTAACTTCTTGAAGGTAGCTTAGACCTTCTACCCAAGGATGTCTACTTGGAAGTTGTTGAAGCTTGGGTAACCAGCTTGGGGAATGATAGAATATCACCCCCTATTTATAAATGAAGATTAGGGTTTACAAGAAAGGCAATTACAAGATGATCCCTGAGTGCTATCCCTGAGTGCATAAAATGATTACAGACAGACCCTAGTGTACCTTTCGGCTAATATAATATGCTAACACTTAATATAATATGCTAACAGTTGTGTCTCTACAAAGTTGTCTTTCTTTGTGTGGACTGCAGTGCTAGACTCCACTCTTACTATTCACAGTTTGAGCAAGAAGGTTGACCTTTGACACTTGGAAAGTAAACCCCTCCAAACCTCCTTGGAATTTTGGAAATGCATGGCCAATCCCATCCTGACATAATGCCTGCTGAATTGCATTACATGTAGGGATATAATAGGACAATTTCAATTGTCAACAGCAATATAAGAACTTTTTGGTGCAACAGAGATTCTTGTTGAGATTTCTATCAACACAACTCAAATATCACTCCTAGAACTCCTCCCATCCGCACTCCACACCAACACAATAATATTGATTTTATCCACAAAAGTGTACCAAAAAATGAAAACTGTTCTACCCCCTCTGACACCTACAGCACTGTGATTCTATTCATGAAAAACAAAATTGTTGTTATACATTTGTTTTGACTGTCCAAAAGATGTGTGCATGCATGCATAAGGGATGAAATTGGTTTGGTTGAAGCAAGCAACAAGCTATGAAGTATGGGTATTTCGAAAAATATGTTGTACCCGTACCGGATACTTACCGGCGTATAGTACCTCATATGGTACTTTTGCATACGTACCGGGTACACGAAACACGTACTCAAATTTTTTCTTCTTAATTGTTGGCGTACCCAGACGTACCTAGTATATACCAAAGCCGTACCATACCTCAGTTGAAACAATATTTTCTTATACTACAGAGATAAAACTCCTTTTACTATACTTTCTTTTTTATTTTTTGTTTTATGCTTAGCATGATTTTAAATTAAACTATGGTTTGTAAATTATTTAACATATTAACATTTAATTTTGATTTATACTTTTACTTTTGGCATTAAATGTTAATTGTAGGTTGGACTTTCACAAATTAAACTATTTAATCTAAATTAAATTTTTTTTTTTAGTGTATCAAGCCGTACCCATACTTATACCCGTACCCTTTTTTTTTTTTTAATTTTACCATATCGACGTACTCGTATCGTACCAGTGCTTGTACCCGTACCCATGCTTCATAGGCAACGAGATATACAGAAAGTTTTCTTAGCACTAAGCACTATAAGAATATATACTCACTTTTCCTAAGGTCTAAATTCATCATTTGAATAATTTTAAGGGCAAATTACATATACCCCCCTCGAGATTTAGTAAAATTATAGATACCCCTGAGGTTTGAGAAATTACAAACACCCCCCTGAAGGTTATATTTGCATAACAAATTAAGGGGCAAATTGTTATGAAAATATAAATCTCAAGGAACAATTTGTTATGAAAATATAAATCTCAGGGGGTATCTGTAATTTCCGAAACCTCAAGGGGATATCTGTAATTTAACTAAACCTCAAGGGAGGTATATGTAATTTGCCCTAATTTTAACAAGGACAAGTGAGAAAAAACCCAAGAAAATAAATTGTAGGAAAAGTAGAATAACATCAATAGTTAATGCAAATTCTGATTCGATACTACAGAGTAAAACGAGGATGGTGGCAAATTCTCACCAGTCCAGCAATCTTTTTAATCATTGCTGCAGGATTGGAGTTCAACCCTTTGACAAGAGCAACAATCAGTTGCTTCAGCATAGAAAGCTTCCTATCTTTCTCTGTGTCTACAAGAATGATATCAGCTCTGAAACCCTCGACCCCCAAAGCATCAAGCTCATCCAGAGTAGGAATATCATCAAAAAGCTCCTTGAGCCTTTTTTCCTGCACATAGTTACATGTCAACAATTGCATAGTAGGGCTCTAATGGGAACCCAACCAGTCACATATTCAGCATTAGAAATTGATAAACAGTTAGTCAAATAACAATTGTAAGAAAATGCATACATATTATTTATTTAAAAGAAAGAAGAAGAAGAAGAAGAAGAAGAAGAAGAAGAAGAAGAAGAAGAAGAAAACGAAGAAAAGAAATATAGCAGTATAGGACAACCACAATCAACAACCAGAGGATACATCACTCTATAGTCCACACTTACATGAAAACAGAGAACAGTTTTAAGTATAAATCCTGGCTTCCTGCACTAATTATGGTCCGAGGAAACCCAGTACATAAGAAAATTTAGGGTCTTTTTCTTTGGCAATTAATGAGTAGGTGCTACTAACTACTAAGTAGCCATCTCAAAAGGCCCATGTTCACAAGAAATTTCATTAACAGGGGAGAAATATTTTGAAGACAGTCTCTCGATCAGTCCTAAAGCTGTTAAGAATCCTGGCATGGGTCTACAATCAATAGTTGGGAGAGCCCAGTGCGGCGAGCTGTGCCTCTGTGACTGATGTGGTGTATCTTGATCAAGTGCGTTATGAGAACTATAAATGGAGAAAAGCTTCCAATTTATGACCTCAGACATGTGTTGCCCAGTTCTTTGTTTTAGCATGACATGACATGGACAATTGGACACGCCATTTCCCTAAAAGTTCGATTTGACACGTTCGAAATCTGTTCAATGAAAGATTACACTTCATACATCTATTATATGACTAACATTATTTTTCATCAAATTAAAAACCAAAAGCTTAATTACCAGTATAATTGAATTGACAAGTGGATAACAATGGAATGAAAGCTATGAAGCACAAATACTTCTAAAATGGAGTTGTATCCGTATCATACCCAATAAGGATACCGATACTTCTCAGATACGTATACGATACTTTCTAAATGTATCCAGTACTTTATGATAATTTTGAGAAGTGTCATGTACTTTTCGGGCACTCTAAGGTCCCATACTATTTTGAAATTGAAATTGTAATAACTTTTGCATATTATTAGTGTATATTTGTTAGAAAAAATACAATATTCAGTGTATTTGATTTGAGTTTTTTGGATTAAGTTTTTTGAAAATTGAGTTTTTTGGTTTTCGTGTTTTTTTGTTTTTTAGTGAATATTTTTAAAATTTTAAACATTTTTTTTACTTTTTTAGATGCATCTTCCTTAGATGTATCAAAAAAGTAAAAAAATTGTGAAAAAAATATTTTTAAAAATTAATAAATACAATACAAAAAAATATACTGAATTCTCTTCTTTTTTTTTTTGTATTTTCAGTATTTAGTGAATTTTTAAAAGGTTTTTTTCACAAATTTTTTACTTTTTAGGTATATTTATGTTAGGTATATCTAAAAATTAAAAAAATTGCTTAAAATATTAAAAAATTCAATAAAAACAAAACAAAAAAAAACACGGAAAACAAAAAAGTAGAATTTTCTGAAAAGTGTTTTTGGAAAACTCTAACCAAGCAAATTTTTAAATATTTTCTTATTTCTCATCAAAGAAGAAATAGTGTGATCAAAGTAGTCCTCTACTTTCAGATTTTATCAAATCAGCATATCCACTATAAACAAATAATATTGGCTCTTAAATTAATATCTAAGTCCTAAATAATGATGTCTAGCTATTTTCTAATTACATTTATAAAATAAAAATGTATCCTATTCATATCCGTATCCTATTTCTTTAGATTTTGTCGTATTATTGTATCCCTATCGTATCATATCATATCATATTCGTATCTCATATCCGTATCCATGCTTCATAGAATGAAAATATGCGGAGTATTTAAAAGGTTCACTAGTACAATGGCCAGCAGATTTTGAATTACTGTTCAGGATTTGTCCCATTACAAATTATTTATTTCTCTTTCTATCTACAAAGGCTTCTTTCATTGTTTCTCTCTACTAAAACAATCGGCCCAGTTGTAAAGAAGAGCTCTCTCTTAAATTTAATAATGCATAATGAGGAAATTATAACATAAAAAGCCCTTTACACACAAAAGGCTTGAAACCAAAGTCTCAACTACCTTCAGAATAGCACCATTGAAAGACAAGCAAAGGGAGAAAAACTCATTGGAAGCAAGGTTTTAAAAAGCGCAGTTGTAAAGAAGAGCTCTCTCTTAATTTTAATAATGCATAATGAGGAAATTATAACATAAAAAGCCCTTTACACACAAAAGGCTTGAAACCAAAGTCTCAACTACCTTCAGAATAGCACCATTGAAAGACAAGCAAAGGGAGAAAAACTCATTGGAAGTTTCGGTTTTGAGACTTAACTGTGAGAGAAGAAGAAGAAGATCAACAAGAGCCAAAGGCCAGCCACAACTTGGTTGGAGTTCAATCAAGATCACTTGCGGCCAATCACAGTTGCCAGAGGGATAGTACGCACCTCGGACTCTTGGATTCTCTCTCCTCTCACTGTCTCAATCATATGTAATAAGAGAGTATAATACATAATATATCTTTACATAGAATAAATGGTACACCTAGTTTAGTCCCCTTTGAATGGGATCTGAGAAGGGTAGATTGGGAACAAATCTAACCTTTCATATTCAAACCCACAACTTCAAGGTTGATAGATCAAGTTTTAACCACTGGACCAGTGACCCTTTTAGAATATATCTTTACATATTCATATATAAAAAAGATTAAGTCCAAGTTTTTGTTATTTTATGTTATGCCCCCTGTTAAAATCCACCTACTCTCCACCTACTTCACCCACTTAAACCTACTCCACTAAACCTAACCCACTGCACCACTACCACCTCACCTACTCCACTAAACCTAACCCACTACACCACTACCACCTCACCTACTCCACTAAACCTAACCCACTAAATCCACATACTCTCCACCTACTTCACCCACTTAAACCTACTCCACTAAACCTAACCCACTAAATCCACATACTCTCCACCTACTTCACCCACTTAAACCTACTCCACTAAACCTAACCCACTAAATCCACATACTCTCCACCTACTTCACCCACTTAAACCTACTCCACTAAACCTAACCCACTACACCACTACCACCTCCACTTCACCTACTTTTAGCCTCTTATTTATTCTCTTACTTTTGTCATTGTTTATCTTATGTATAATAGTTAGTGATTAATTTTTTGTATAATATAAAGTCATTAATTATTAAAAAAAAATGTAAAAAACTCAGTTTATAGTGATTTAAAAATATGAAATATATTGGATCAATCTTAAAAATTTATAAAAATTGATCAATATTTATTTTTAACCCAATAAATATGATCATGGAAAAAAAATATACGTATCGGTAAGTTTTTTTCAAATTGTGCAAAAAATAAAAAAATTCACGGTTCCGGTTACCGCAACCGTTACACTACGGCCTTTACACCCCGCAACCGCAACCGCAACCGCGTCACCGCCACCGTTACGGCGACCGCAACCGCTTTTCAGAACCTTGATTGGAAGTTTCGATTTTGAGACTTAACTGTGAGAGAAGAAGAAGAAGATCAACAAGAGCCAAAGGCCAGCCACAACTTGGTTGGAGTTCAAATCAAGATCACTTGCGGCCAATCACAGTTGCCAGAGGGATAGTACGCACCTCGGACTCTTGGATTCTCTCTCCTCTCACTGTCTCAATCATATGTAATAAGAGAGTATAATACATAATATATCTTTACATAGAATAAATGGTACACCTAGTTTAGTCCCCTTTGAATGGGATCTGAGAAGGGTAGATTGGGAACAAATCTAACCTTTCATATTCAAACCCACAACTTCAAGGTTGATAGATCAAGTTTTAGCCACTGGGCCAGTGACCCTTTTAGAATATATCTTTACATATTCATATATAAAAAAGATTAAGTCCAAGTTTTTGTTATTTTATGTTATGCCCCCTCCTCTTTTGAAAATCACAAATGGATCCCCAAGCATGTCTCCTAACGTATCCAGACATGTCCCGACATGTTTGGTACGTCCCCATAACATGTTCGACAATCCAAAAAAAGGCTATTTCAGTGTATCTAGGACATATCCAAAAGTGTCTGTGTCCCAAACGTGTCAAACATTGATACGTGAGCCAAAATAGAGTATCTATGCGTCTTAGGACATAGCGATCAACAGATTTGATGCACTAATGAACCTTTTACATTACAATTAAGTCACTCCATGGAATAAAAAAGTCTTATGTAACCTCAAGAGCCTTCAATCTCAGCAATCTTGAAAGTTTGTTGAGCTCCAGACATAAAGGCCATTCCACCTCCAATTATATGATATGAACAATACAAAGGGGATTCAAACCTTTTTGTCTACCTATCTCATCTTGGAATAGATATGAGTTGCTAAGCCAGGTATAATATTCTCCACGCAGAAACATGTGTTTTGTGTGGAAGGGTAGGGTGGTATGTGCTTGGTTCAAGAAAAGGGGAAAAAAAAAGATTTAAACTCAAAGCATGATCAAATCCATAGTAGATGCAAGACTGTTAAGCAACCGGTCATAGATTGCTTCTTATGTTTTAGTAACTCAAATCTTAAGCTCCAAAGCCAATACCTACTATTCTAGAGGTTAAAATACTGTATCTGTTGGTAAAAGTAAAAAATGAGGAAAACCGCACCTATATGGATTTCAAGGATATTTGGAGCCTAGTATATCAATTTTTTGTTAGAATATGAATAAAGTAGTCAAAAGATCAAATTTTCCTACATAAAGCAGCTTAAAATCATCATTAAAATCCATGTCCATCATATTTGTTAATGAAAGCAACATAAGGGATGTCACCTATATACAAAGAGTAGAAAAGAAAAAAAGAAAAAATACAGAAGGCGACCTATCCACTGCCTCAAGTATCAAAAAGCTCTAAAATTCTATAAAATTTGTGTAGGATTTACAACCGGGTTCCAACTATTCATTAACCCCTAAGGTCCAAGAAACTACTCTTCAACCGATAAAGGCTTCTCCCTCCCTCTCATTAAATTGAATGCCCATATAAAAGTTGAACATGGACATGCGAGAATCAAACATGCATATATGTGAGTTTAACAAGTATTTCAGCTCCCAAAAATAAATAATAACCCCAATATCCAATTCCCTTCATGAGTTGTTCACTATATCCAATAGCACAATCACAACCATAGTCTAAACCATGACTCATACTTTCATCGTGGACAAATGACTCATAATAAATATCAAACAGCTTATATTCCAGTAACAATCATATTAAAGTAAAAAAACATCAGAAACCATAATAACAGGAATTTATTCGGAAAACCAAGAAAAATTGCTCACAGGAATGACAGAGTAGAAACCATTCGGAATCGGTTCCGAAAGCATTCCAGTGCTCCAGAGAATCTGTGAAGCTGTTTGTGATGACAACTCAACATGCTCAGTATAGTTATTTGTTTCTCTAGTACTCAAAGTTTCTCCTTTAGAATCCAAAGAAACAGATCCAATTTTTTCGATGACATCTGAAGGCCACCATGTAGTATACGGAGGTCTTTGCTCTGATGTTTCTGCATCGTCACGCGTCTTCTCCATGTCCATAAATACTTGAAATGTATAAACATTTCGCCCCACTTCTTACCCCATAAAAGACCTCTCCAAACTAAAAATTAGACAACAAATCATTCGTTTACAAATTTCTTTTGTTCTGACTTTCTTAAGCTGGAGGCCATGCAACCTGAAAAGTGAAAAACAAAAGTTCAAACTCACAATCAGTACACATTTCGTCCATCATCTTCCATTACATTCCTGTTTCAAATACCTAATAGAATATAGAAACATGGCTCAACCATACACACATCAAGCAATGAACAAATGTGAAATACAATCATTGGTAATACATTTGGAAAGAAAAGTTTCTACAGCCAACCAGTGTCCACTTAAAGATACAAAAACAGTAGATTTATAGATGAAATATAGCCAGCAGATGCACCAGGAAGTCTAATACAGTCCCGCAGGCAGGGGCACCAAATCTAGTTTTTTAACCTTCTGAAAACTAAAAAAGGATAGGCAAATGAGCTACAGCCCACGCAGAAACACATCCACACAAGGAAGCAGTTATGGTAATGTGAAGAATGGTCAGATCAATAATATGAATCTTGATCAAACGTGAACCTAATTTTTTAATTAAATTAATTTGAAAACTTAGCAAATTAGAGTTGCAGTTATATTCATAACAAATCCCTCAACAGCAAGATCATTTTGAATTTGAAAAAGCAAAGATGGCTTTAGAGTGTGACAGGTTTTCACAAGAACAAAAGGAGACATTTAAACTAAGAGATAACAATGGGACATTGTCTGTGGAGAGATGTTTTCAAGATCATCAGCCCTTTTTATTTCCTAATTGAATATAGTATGGACTAGACAGATGACTTAGCTAATATCTAATTCTAGCATCGAAGCTAAACAAATAGTAACTCTTACTATCCCTGAAGAAGTTCCTTGTCACTGGCGAATGCAGTCATTTGCATCACGGTTACAGAGGCTAAAATGGAGGTTTAAATAGCCTGAAGGTTCTGATGGAACATACAAAATTCCAAGTTCGCAAACAGCCTCAATAATGCTGAAGCAGAGGACTCTCATCTATAGTTCGTATATTAGATCAGACACGTATTTCCAAATTCCAACACTGAAAAAACTTCGAGTTTGGGCCATGAACCCAGAAGCCTTTTTAATTCCAAATGCTCCATATCATTTCAGAAAGGTGAACCATCAAGACCTTTGCCAAATTGCCAGCTAACTAGCATCCTGTAGAACCAATAAGGCTGATTGCTCTAGAACCAGTGATCATCACGTTGACCAGCGATTGACTCGGTGATCATCACCTCACATTATAACACTGGAATCCAATACCTCAATCAATAAGTAATGCCCACTGTTCATCAGATCTTGACAACTAACACAAACAGACATTTTTTCAACCTCAAAGATTAAGACATCCAATCATCAGATGTAACATTAATAGCAGAAATCTGGATATCCACAAAATTTAAGTACTTCCGTCATTCAGTTTCCAATGATAGATACTTCCAGACACCCAAATGTAACAGCAATTAAGATTGAATTACAAGATCCTCATCTCTACACCCACTACTGTCAAGAACCAAACAACCCATTACCCAACATCAATCACTTCAAATTACATACGCATCTATCATAAATACCCAGAAAAGTTAATGAACTAACATTCGAAATCCAAAAAACCCAATAACAATTCATTCCAAATTCAGTGCCGCCGCCATAAAAAGACACATTGAAATCAAAATTAATAGAACTGGAACCCATATAAACATAAATAATACAATACTTACACTGATATATATACGGAATTTGGGATCACAGAAAAGAGAGATAGAGAGAGAGCTTACCGCCAGCAGATCCAAGAAGAAGAATCTCCAGTTGCTCCTGGGACGAACAATAGCATTTGAATCTTAGGTTCCCCGAAGACTAGGCTTCATGTCTGAATCAACGTTGCAAAGACCATTGAGAGACCTGAGAGAGAGAGAGAGATTTTATAAAGAGAGTGACCGATGTGAATATATATAAGATGCGAACGAGGAAACGGTAGACAGATTAGGCTGCGGGTGTATCTTTATTTTTATTTTGGTACAAGATAGGGTGAAAAATTATACATATTAACCCAAATTTCACTTTAATTACTACTGTTTTTGTAGTAATCTTAAATTTTAAGTTATTTTTAATTTGGTTAATTAGTTTAAATATAATATTCAATTTTATAATTTTGTAACTCTAACCCTCAACATTGCCTCCCTTCCGTTTTGCTCTCAATCTTGGGTACCATCGCACCCTCCATCTTTGTATGGTCTACCTCCGTCTTTTTATGTTGTTATTGTTCTTTGAATGGTTATGGTTTGATTTTAATTTTGTATTAGGGATTGAATTAATTAGAATGGTAGTGGTGGTTTAATTAGGATTAGGGTTTAATTTATTTTGAGGTTTAAGATTTAGAGTTTGATTTTCGGTAGAGAGCAATGATGAGGTGGATTAATGGTTGTTATGGAAGCCAAGATGGTAGTAGTGGGTGCTTAATGGTGGCGGTAGCAAAAATAAACGGAAAAAGAGAGAGGGTAGCGAATGATGAAGGCAAACATGGTATGCAAAGGAAAGAGGGTAGTAGTTAGGGACAAAGCGGAGGCAAACAATGGTAGCAGCGCCCATAGTGGTTGTGTTGTAGTATAGTGGGTGGTTGTAGATTAATGAAGATGAGAATAAACATGGTAAAGAACGAGTTGTTGTGCGAAGAGAGAAATGAAGAATGAGATGCGGTGGCATGAGAGGGGTAGCAAAAAGCAATAGAGAGAACAGGTTGACGGAAAGTAATGATTGCTAGAGTTGCAACGGAAGAGAAAAACGAAGGGAATGAGTGTTCTGTGTTTGTCAATCAATGATTCCATAATTTTATTTTATTTTTGTAATTAATTTTAAATTTCGATTTCCATTGTAATTTTAGAAAACATTTCACTTATGTGCAATTATTATTATTATTTGATCATTTTACATTTGTGTGCAAAATTTTCAAAATAAAAAGGTGTAATTTTTTTTTATTTTTTTTGTAAAATATATATAATTACGGAAGTTAGATAAAATAAATAAATAAATTTACCCATTATAAAAAAAAAGATTAAAAAAATACAAAGGTGACATTTGGAAAGAAAATTAAAAGTTGCGTTTTGCCGCTTAGCGAAAAAATCAAAAGTTGACTTTTTTGGCATCAAAACTATTTGGAAAAATAGCTAAAAGTTACATGTGAAATTACAATTATATACCCTCCATATTTACATTTGTGGGTTAGGGCAAAATCTTTTGGATATGAATATTTTAGTCATTTGAATGCAATGTAACTACATAAACAAATATTAACAAAAAAAAGTCAAAAATTAATTTTTTATCAACTTTCCAAATAATTTATAAAAAGGTCAAAAAAAATTGATTAAAAGTTCAAAATAAATTTTTAACCATCTTCCTAAAATAATATAAAATGTACAAAAATGCTTTAGACCACTAATTAGTGGTGTCTCTAATAATGTGGCAGTGGGTCCCACCCACTGCCACATGTGTATTGTGCCTTGGATTTTTTTTTTTTTACCTCATTAGTGGTGGATTTAGAGCTCCTAGAGCTCTAAATCAATACTGTAAAATGTATTCTCACATCAAACCCTTTGTGGGGCCATGTTTGAGGGGTGGGCCGGTTAATGATAGAGTTAGATACTACCTCTAGTAATTAAAAACAAAATTTTATTCTAAAACGATGCTTAGAAAAATGAGTTATTTTAGTTAAATAAGTTGGCATTTTAGCCAGTTACATTTATCAAATTAGGGAAAATCGGTCTAAGGTCCCTATCCAACTTTTAGTAATGGATTAGGTCCACAATCTGTTCTTTTGTAGTCTAAGGTCCCTCACCCCATTCTCTCTCTATATACGTTGTCCTGAGCTTGATCATCGCTGGCTCCAAATCCCCAACCCTTGACCAGTTGCTCTCCTTCCTTCACTCAGCTCCTCCGCCAGGAACACATCGATCGACTCTGCGATTTGAGCTACGTGCTCTTTGTGCTGCTCTATCAATTGTAACGTGCGATCGTATGCCTTTGCCACCCATTCTCTTACTTCGTTGTCGATGATTGCAGCGATTTTGCTGCTGTATGACTTCGTCATCTCAAATGTGTCCTCTCTTTGAGGAAATGAGAGAAGACCTACTTTATTGCTGAAACCATAGATCGCTATTTGAGCATAGGTCATCTTGGCCACCTTCTCCAAGTCGTTTTGGGCTCCTGTTGAAATCTTTCCCAATAAAACCTAATTCAAAAACAAAATCAGATTCATGAGAATTGAAAGATCCAAAATCAGATTCACTTATAATGTTGTTCGGATGGATCAGCAACTGGAGGTAATAGAGTATATAAGTGACAGATCAGAGAAGAACCAAGCCGCTAAAATTTCTCTGGATTGATCCAGAGAAATTTTAAATTTCTCTGGAGAGGTAATGTTGATATAGCTAATTATCTGTGCGTTGTGGTGTGTGTGTGCACCGTGTATGTTTGTGACTGTGTGCATGGGTTGTGTATGTGTATGGGTTGAAGTTGTGTGCGTGCGGTGTGAAGCTCAAAAAATGAAGCTGTCGTGGTTAACATTTGAAGGTTGAGAGAATGCAGCTGTCCAAGGATACTCAGGTTCAGCCTGAGAAGATCAAGTAAGCTAAGTGGTCGGATTCGAATGGTGACAGAAAATAGAATTTTTTGGCTAATGTTTTTTTGCTAATGTTTGATTGGTCTTCACAGAATGTTTTTGTAAATGAAAGGAACCAACCTGGTGAATTCTCAAACCAGAGAAATTCTCAATTGTTATTTTTAATAAACCAGAGAAATTCTCAATTGATATTTCAATAACAAACTAGAGAAATTCTCAGATTTTTCCAGAATTTCTCTTGTTCTGGTAAGTTGCCATTGTTATTACAAACTAGAGAAACACTTTCGATTGAAAAATTCAACTAGAAAAAAACGAAGAATAGATTTGGGTAAGTTACAGAAATTTTTTCAGATATTACAAATCAGAGAAATTCTCAATTGTTATTTTTAATAAACCAGAGAAATTCTCAATTGATATTTCAATAACAAACCAAAGAAATTCTCAGATTTTTCCAGAATTTCTCTAGTTCTGGTAAGTTGCCATTGTTATCGCTTCTAATGTTGCTTACATATTACAATGTGGAATTTTTCCAGTTGAATTCAGTTGAACATTGTTCAACAGATAAACACTTGCGATTGAAAAATTCAACTGGAAAAAAGCGAAAAACAGATTTGGGTAAGTTGCAGAAATTTTTCCAGATATTACAAACCAGAGAAATTCTCAATTGTTATTTTTAATAAACCAGAGAAATTCTCAATTGTTATTTTTAATAAACCAAAGAAATTCTCAATTGATATTTTAATAACAAACCAGAGAAATATTCAGATTTTTTTAGAATTTCTCTGGTTCTGGTAAGTTACCATTGTTATCCCATTCTAATGTTGCTTACATATTACAATGTGGAATTTTTCCAGTTGAATTCAATTGAACAATGTTGCTTACCTAATGAATCACAATGATTTGGATGTGAATGAGAAGAAAAGTAGAGAAACTCATCCAGAGAAATTTGGTCCAGAGAAATTTCTCTGGGCCAGAATTTCTCTGACCAATTTTCTCTACACTGAAATTTCTCTGGACCAAATTTCTCTGGACTGAAATTTCTCTGAATCAAAGTTGAGGGACCTTAGACATTATGAAAATATTGTTGAGGGACCTTAGACATTATGAAAATATTGTTGAGGGACCTTAGATATTATGAAAATATTTGGTGTCCTTTATGCTATAAAATCATAATACCAAGGATCTTAAAAAAAAAAAAACTATCAAATTATTATATATACTTCTTTTTTTTCTTTTTCTTTTGTTTTTGTTTTTTGGTAATGAATCACCCACACATGAATAGTTAAAAAATGAATAAAGTAAACTATTGAATTAAAATACATTACAAGCCTAATGAATTGGATTGGACCATCTTACCCATGTACACATTATAAAAAAGCAACAATTCGATCCCATTTAAAAATAACAATCTTAGGAACATAAAGAGATGGATAGGCATAGCCTCATTTAAGAAGTTATGCCTCGTTTACGATCAAGTTAATTTAGTAATTTTTTAATTATTTGACTAAAATATGAGTTAAAAAAAATTAATATGTTTGGGATGATATTTTAATTTTTTACGAAAAGATGTGTAAAAAGTAGAGAGAAAAGAGAATCTTTGATTTTTTGGTATGGGTTGCTGACTTTTTGGCTAATTTAGTAACTTTTTGACTTTTTTGCTAAAAAGGAAGATTCCCAAACGAGGCTTTAGTTATTATAATAGGCTATTTTTTTTAAGCTATTTTAATAGGTTAAAATATTTATGTTTGGAAAAATAATTGAATTTTTTTATAATTGAGGTTTCATTTGACATGCAACAGTTTTAGTCTAAAAGTCAAAAAATTATTAAAAAAACCTAAAAGCTTACAATTTATACTAAAAAATCAAATATTTTATTTTTTTCTATTTTTTGCACATATTTTCGTAAAAAATCAAAAAGTGATTTCAAACATACTTTTATCTCATGTTTTAGCCAAAAAGTTACTAAAATAACTTGTTCCCAAACGAGGTCTTAGACATTTGTAATAGAAAAAAGTAAAATTATTATGAATTTAATGTGATATTTTATTTTATTGACTATTTTAATATATTTTATATTTTTATAAATTTTACTCCAAAAAGTAAAAAACAGTCCCATATGAGATTGTTGGATAGATAAAAGCCATTTGCCTTTGTTTGGGATGAATATTTTTTGACTTGGCTTTTTGATTTTTTTAATTGTTTAACCTGACTAAAAAAATTTTATTTTGGAAGAACGTTTGGTTTTTTTTTGTAGTTTTGTGAGACAAAAAATAAAATGATTATGATTTAAATATGATATTTTACCTTATTACCTTTTTAAT